TTATATTTGCCTGCCACTTTCGACGAGTGGTTGTCTGAACCGGACACACCCAAGGCTAGGCAAATCAATGGTCCGCCGACTGCACCTCGGTGGGGAAATCCTGAAGCCTGCACGTGGGACGAGTCGGCTGTGGGCGGCGACGATGACGTGGCCGCCGATAAACAACCCACATGCGACGGCGATGCTGGAGGCGACGGTGGAGTCGACGGTGAAGAGGGCGCCGAGGAGGACGTGTTCCCAGATCGTGAAGCTACAGACGCGGACGACGACGGTGTGGAGTCTTGGTGGCGCAACGCACCACGCGAGAAGATGCCGATACCAACGTATCCGTCGATTAACAAAAAACGACCCCACCCCTCCTCTGAGAACCGAGATGCCCGCCCCCCCTCTCCCAGGCACAAGCCGACTCAACACAAACGGGAGCGCTACACCGCCCAGGAGAAACTGAAGTGGCTCGTTCGGCTGGAGCTTGCTTCATCGGTAAGTGAGGTCGCGCGGGAGTCTGGCATACACCGCAAATGCCTCACAGAGTGGAAAAACCAAGCGGAGGAGCTCAAGGCTGCACACAGTGCTCGGTGTCGACTTCATGGCCGCGGAAGGTCTTCCTGGTACAGACCCATGGAGATGAAGGTGTACGCCCAAATCCTGGACTGGCGACGCCGCGGTGTGGCAGTATCAGTCGGCCGGCTGCAAGAGTGGTCAAAAGAGGTGATGAAGGTGTTGTTCCCGGACATCAAGTGGAAGGCGAGTCAGCGCTGGACGGAGCGGTTCCGCAAGCGGTGGAATCTCACCGTGCGCATGAAAACAAAGGTGGCGCAAAAGACACAGCAGCGTAAGTGCCTGTCCGTGCACCGTCATCCTATCGTGAAATTTTATCTTGTATTTCAGTACTTTCTTGCCCATGTTTGTTTATCTGTAGCGGTGCTCATCCGCCCTTGTAACCGTTCCTCCCTCCCCGTGCTTAGATGTGGCCAAGCAGTGCAAGGAATTTTGGCTGTTTGTCCGCGACGCACGCCACGACTACGACATCGACAATCGTTACATCATCAATGCCGACCAGACGCCTTTGTGGCTGGAGATGCCGGCGACTACCACGGTGGAGCAGACGGGCGTGAAGTCGGTGCCCATCCGCAGTGGTGGTTACGAGAAAGAGAGAGTCACTGTGATGCTGGCGTGCACGGCGACGGGCGAGAAGTTGAAGCCGTGGGTGTTTTTCAAGCGCAAGACCCTCCCAAAGGGTGACTTTCCGAACGGTAAGAAACTGCGTATGCGCGTGTTTCCGAGGGGAAAAACAAAAGTAAAATCTAACCACCGCTTGCTTGTATGCAGATGTCGTGGTCGGTTGCCAAGCTAACGGGTGGATGGAGGCCTCGGGCGTAATCGAGTGGCTCGATGCAGGCGTGGTGCCGTTCATGAAACCGAAGTTCGGATTGCAGAGCCGGAGCGCCATGCTAGTGCTCGACTCCTATCGTGGACACCTGACACCCGAAGTCAAGGCGAAGTTCGCGGAACTCAACATCGTGCCGGCGGTCATCCCAGCGAGATGCACGGCAGACTTGCAGCCGCTCGATGTGTCCGTCAACAAAAGCTTCAAGGCGAGTGTTCGGCAGCAGTACCAGACCTGGTTCGAGCAGGACGGCATGAACATCCTGACACCCGCAGGTACGCAAAAGTGTTCTCCTGTGACCGCTTCGTCTGTATGTCTGCCTACTTGTGGACCCACGTGTTTCCCACCCCCGTGTATGTGGTGCAGGGAACATTAAGAAACCATCTTCGGAGGTGGTGCTCAAGTGGATTTCACGGGCGTGGAAAGCTGTGCCCGCCGACCTGATAAAGAGAGCGTTCCTCACCTGCGGCATCAGCAATGCCCTTGACGGGAGTGAAGACGGACTGGTGCTGGCGCACCGGAGAGGTCAGCTATCCCACGAGGTAGAGGTTGATGACGACATCCAAGCAGACGGGTTCTTTGGCAACAACTCCACGGAGCCTGAGTCGGATGAGGAGTAGGCCTTAGGCTAGACTAAACTTAAAAATGTTGTGTAGGCTAGGATGCTAGTCTAATGTATTTGACTTGAAAGTTTTAGTTGAATTTTTTAGCTAGAGTAATGTAGTTTGTACGAAGGTTGTAAAGAAAGTGAAAAAAACAACAGACATTCTCGTATATACAGCAAGAGTGCGCTTATAATAAGTAAGGTTTTTTTAGAGGGTGCGCTTCTAATTGAGGATCGGCCATAAGCGCATTGCTCCAGATAGAAGCGCATGCCCTTAACATAGGCCTGCGGTTATATCCGGGGCGATACGGTACCCCTTAGAGTACATGGCTAGCTAGGTCGATTAATATTTCTTTGTACTATTACTCCTAGTGCTGTACTTGCATGCTTTTATCATCTCAAACATTAACATTCACTCTGCTATTGAGGTCAAGGGCCCACTACTACTCAGTCATGTGCGAACCTTCCTGAGGTGATCCTAGGGGCGATCAATTTCTGATCGCAACATGAGAGAGACTCGGGAGTCCTTCGTGCTACCACCTCTGAAATCTACGACGATTGGAAAGTGGCGTCCGGCACACGCTCACGTGTGAGAATGGCCAGAGGATCTGGTGGTCAGACGAATCTGACGGCTGAAGCACAGCCCAACCCGGCTGCGACAAGCGAGGAAACGACGACGATTCCTTTCCGCCGTTCTCGCACAACTACTTCAGCGAATCACCAGCTTGGAGCAAGGGCTCCAAACATTGCGGAATGGCTACGCGGAAACTTTTTCAAACGGCCACAATACCGCCCCGCACACCTTCTCCCTTGACACTAATGGCTCGACTCCTAAAACAACCCATCCCAACGAAGAGGCAATTCTCTCTACACAGTCAAGGTTTTTTAGCATATCAAAAATAAAGACAAGTGTGTGTTTTGACGGCAGATACTTCTACACTTGGAGCTTCGAGCTGGAGCTGAAGCTACAAAAAGCGCAATTTTTTCACTACTTTGACGGGAGCTAGTTGGGACCTGCTGAGGACACTGACGACGCCAAAACAATGTACTACAACGAGTCCCTCATGACGTACGGGGTCCTTGTGCGGAACATGTCGCCGGCGGAGCAGTTAAGCATTCGTTCCTACAAAACTTCACCAGCTCCAGCCCTCGACGCCTGGCGGCACCTGAACGCGTGTATCAACCGAAGGACTCGGTTTCGTCGAGCCGCCTACTCCAACAACTTCTGGAAACAAGAATGCCCCCAGGGGAGAAGGCCAACAGTTACCTGAACCGCTGTCGGAGCTTACGCGACCAGATCGCGAAACTTGGGAGCACAATCTCGGAGGAGATCTTCGTGAACATCTTACTCCAGAGGCTCGGCCCAGAGTGGCGGCCCTGCAAGGCGCTTCTCCGACAGCAGGGGGTCATCTCGGAGGCCGCCCTATGCGCCACCCTTCTCGTCGAACAACGGGATATGGACCAGCAGCGACCAGCGCCGCGACAAGAGAGAGAACGTCTCACCTTCTACGCCGACAACACTGAAGAGCGACGGCCGCGGCGCCTCTACTGCAAAATTTGCATAAACTTCAAGCACCTGGCAGATCGATGTAAGTCCTGATTTCGCCCTCGCCAGACCAATCCGAGCACCTGGTCCGGCCGACAAGACGCACGGAACGACTCGCGTCCAGCCCAAGGGTATCAACCCCCTTCACACAACCTGAACCCAACGGTTCAGCACCAGCAGCAGCAGCCACAGTTTGCTCCCGTCCGCAATGTCATGAGCAACACGACAATGACAAGCGGATTGCGACGTCCTCGCGCTCACTCACCGTCATCTGAGCCAGCATCACACCCAATTGGAGCGTTCTCGAATAAGAGCCTGTTCAGCACGCGTCACAACTTCAGCAACGACGATGCCCAAGATTGGAATCTCCCAATCCCGCTGCTTGAAAGTCCCCCACACATACTTGACACGCGGGAGGCCCGATCGATAAGATCGCACGTGAGCAATTCATAAAGTTTGACACACCGCATATCGTTACTCCGCGACTGCGCTGCTCGCACGTAACGACAACAGGCGCTACAACTCGTGGTACCTGGATAACTGCCGTGGGCAGCATATGGTGGGCTTCGAGCGTTACATATCCAACGCTGTCGCCAACCCTGCCGTCACATACGTCACCGTGACGAACAACGCGCGCTTGCGCGCAAGGCATCGTCGTGCTCAAGGCCCAAGGAAGCAGGACACACATCACGCTGAACAACGTGCTAATCGTACAGAATCTGCGCTTCAATCTCCTCTCGGCGGCGCAACTCATGGGCTGCGGAGTCGACCTCAGCACCGACCCCAGGACGCACGACGTCCTGCTTCACTACACGATGTCAGACAACAGGACGGGCAGGAGGAGCCGATGGAGGCAGACGGCGTCGAGAAAGTCGGCGTGGCTGCTATGGAGGTGCTCTACCCAGAGACAACCTGTTATCGTGGCGTTGCAGCCGAGGCTGGACGCATGACGAAGCCACTAAGGACGAACAAACATGTTCCAGGCATGAAGAAGCCGTCTACTGCTAGTGCAGATGAAGAAGATGAGGGCGTGACCGAGGGGTACCACACTAGACTAGGCAGGTATATCATTGTTTGACGATTAAAACTGAACATGCAATAAAACTGGTAGGAAGACCCGCCTGTTTAGTAGAGAACCCCGAAACCCATTGACCTTACATACGGCATCTAGGGTATGTCAATTCGTACAAACCCATAAGTCCCTCCCTTAACTCCCATAACTCCACCTGCCATGCATTTACCCGAATCAAAGACACCATACCATTGTCTTCAATTCGACACTATCTTCTACCCGTGAGGTTCCAGGTGATTACGGCAAATTCATTAAGGAATGGCCAAGTGGGGAGATTATAGACCAAGTGTATATAACATAGACAACCTCTTTTCAACCCTTTCGAGTATACAGAAGCTAGGGTACATGGCAGAGATGGCCTGTCTCAAACCACCACCACCCCAATCAACCACTACAGAGCCCCACTCTCCTGCTTCACTGCCCCATTCCCATTCCCATCCCGTGCGTCACCCCCAATGCGCTCATGCCACTCATCATCCTCCAGCAGGTGATCATGCACCGCCTCCAGATCCACCCTCGCCGCCGCCTCCTCCTTCTCCTTCTCCTCCTCCACGCTCACCGGCGGCACAAACACACACGTGCTGCAGTCGTCAGAGTCCCTGAGCTCCAGCAGCATCGGCACCACTGAGGGGTTGGCCAGCGTGCTCAGGTCCCCCAGCTCGTCCTCCTGCCGCGCGGCGATCTTGCGCAGCACGCGCCGCATGATCTTGCCGCTGCGCGTCTTGGGCAGGTGCGGCGCCCAGTGGATGTGGTCGGGGGCGGCGAAGGCACCGATTGTAGAGCGCACAGAGCGCACGAGGTCGAGACGGAGGTCGTCGGCGTACTCCACACCGGAGACCAGCGTCACGTACGCGTATATGCCCTGCCCCTTTATCTGCCATGGGTGGCGCACAGGGACGGTAGAAGGGCTTAGGGCACGGTAGAAGGGCTTAGGGCACGGGGTCAGGCAGGGACGAGAGCACGAGGGCAGGATGGGGGGGGTGGGGGAACTGGGATGGAAGAAGAGCATTGGGACGGACGGGTGGGTCAGTGAGTGGGGATGCGAGAAGGGAGCGCAGAGAGGGGCGAGGCAAGGCCAGCGTGAGAAGCAAGCATGCCTCCCAGTGAGCAGCAGTGCGGTGAGCGCACCTCGTGGTCGAAGCCGACGACAGCAGCCTCGGCGCAGGCGGGGTGGGCGACGAGGGCGGACTCCACCTCAGCTGTGCCGATGCGGTGCCCACTCACGTTGATCACATCGTCCACCCGCCCCGTCACCCAGTAGTACCCATCCGCATCCCTGGGAGAAGGCGGGGGAGGGGTAGAATGAGGAGAAATGGGAAGAGAATGGTGGGATTGGTTGCTTTTAGTGCTGCCTTCACGGGCTGGTTTGCCTGCCAAGTGTGCTTTAGTGTGGAGGGGAATGTGATAGCGTGCCATTCACTTGGACGCAGCTCACTTCCTCCACTGCTTCGCCCTCTCCTCACATCCAGCACAAATCCACTCTCCACACCTTCTGCAGCCATCGCCTGAGAAGTAGAAGCCTTTGAAGGGCGCAAAGTAGTTGGTCTCGTAGCGGTCGTGGTCGTGCAGCAGCGTGCGGAACATGCCCGGCCACGACGCCCTCACACACAGGTACCCCTCCCCCTCCCCCTGCACCTCCTCCCCCCGCTCGTCCACCATCGCCGCCTGCACTCCGAAGAAAGGGAACGACGCCGCCCCCGGGCGCTGCGGCCACGCTCCTGGCAGGGGGAGAATCTGGTTGGGGGAGGGAGAGGGGTGGCGGAAGGAGGGAGGGGGTGGGATGACAATTATTGGAGAGTGGAGTGTGAAAGGGAGAGCCAGAATGGCAAGGTGGAAATGTTTGGGAGGCGTTGAGAAACATAACAATCGGTGTTGACTAGCAGTGGGGCACGGGCACGCACCATGAAGCCACCGGTCTCAGTCTGCCACCACGTGTCGCTGATGGGACACCTGTCCTCGCCAACCACTGAGCTGTACCACCTGCAGGCGGAAAGGGGGTGAGGGGGGAGGGGAGGAGGTGGGGAGGAGGGTGAGAGGAAGTAGAGTGACGGGGTGTAGGAATAGGTGCGTGTGTTGAGGTGTGAGGCACATGACAGGCATAGTCCAGTCCAGTGTTGGGTGCATGGCTGTGGCCGTGGATGCTGGCGCGTGGCATATGGCACATGGCAATGGCGAGAGTGATGAGTGCAAGCGTAGCGTTGGCAGGGGCAGCAGAGAGCACAAGGGCAGGCAGGGTACTCACTTCCATGCAGACGGATTGATGGGCTCGCCCACGCTGCCCAGCACTCGCAGTGACGTGCGCTTTGATGCCTCCACCCACTGCTCTCACATGCATGCATGGGAATGTGCACACACATGCACATGGATGGATACGCAAATGCACCTACACACATGGATATGGATGGATACGCAAATGCACCTACACACATGGACATGGATGGATACGCAAATGCACCTACACACATGGACATGGATGGATACGCAAATGCACCTACACACATGGACATGGATGGATACGCAAATGCACCTACACACATGCACATGGATGGATACGCAAATGCACCTACACACATGCACATGGATGGATACGCAAATGCACCTACACACATGGACATGGATGGATACGCAAATGCACCTACACACATGGACATGGATGGATACGCAAATGCACCTACACACATGGACATGGATGGATACGCAAATGCACCTACACACATGGACATGGATGGATACGCAAATGCACGTACAAACATTTGGCAAGGGGGAGACGAGACGAGGTGGCGGTTAGGAGGTGGGTGACGGGTGAGTGCGGAGAGTGTAGGCAGGTGTGATGGGGAGAGACTCAGAGCGTGCAGGCATGTGGGTGGTGCGCACATGAGAGACCTCTCATGCACCCCCCATGCCCACCCAATGACCCCCCATGCGCCCCAATGCGCCCCAATGACCGCCAATGACCCCAAATGCGCCTCAATGAGCCAAAATAACCTCCCCATTCGCCCCCATTCACCCCCATTCGCCCCCTTGATGAGCCCCCATGCGCTTACCTGATCTCCGGAGCGCATGGCGGCGCGGATGGCGGTGGGGGCGGTGTAGAAGAGCGACACGGCGTAGCGGTCCACTATGCGCCACCAGCGCCCCCAGTCGGGATAGTTGGGCACGCCCTCGAATAGCACCTGGTGAGAAAGAGGAACGGGACATTCCAATGCGACAATCATTGTGGAGCTAAAATTGTTGAGCGGGAGGGGAGCAGAGGGGTGGGTGGGCTCATGGTGGGCAGGTGGCTTACCTGCGAGGCGCCGTTGAGGAGCGGGCCGTAGGCGACGTAGCTGTGGCCGGTGATCCACCCGCAGTCGGCGGTGCACCAGTACACGTCGCTGGGCTTCCAGTCAAACGTGTGCTTGAAGGTGGTCGCCGTGTACACCATGTAGCCGCCCGTCGTGTGCACCACTCCCTGGTGGACCGGCATGGGCGCGCGTGGGGGGACGGGGAAAAGGGGGAAAGGGGAAAAAGAGGGAGGGGGAAATGAGGGAGGGGGAATATGGGGACGGGCAACGAGGGTGCGGTTGACGGGGTGACGGGGTTTTGAAACCGGTGAGGATGAATCATGCCGCTCCGATTGTCTTCTGCTACTTTCCCTGCAATCACACCTCCTGTTTCCCCTCACCGCTAGTTACAGTCACACTGACGACCACGCACGCACCTTGGGGCGGCCCGTGGATCCCGAGGTGTAGAGCAGGAAGAGCGGGTCCTCCGCGTCCATCCACTCCACGTCATCACTGCCCGGCGCCACGTCAGCATGACCAATAACGTCCTGCCACCACACGTCGCGGCCCTCCACCATGTTGACCGCGTCTCGCGCCATGGCGGGCGGGTTGTCCGCCACCACCACGCGCGCCACTGAGCCGCCACGCCGCGCCATTCACAAGGGGGAAAGAGGTGGGTTGGCATGGGGAGGGGCGGGAGTGGGGGAGAGGAAGGGTGGCGTTTAGAGGAAGGGTGGCGTTGAGAGGAAGGGTGGCGTTGAGAGGAAGGGTGGCGTTGAGAGGAAGGGAGGCGTTGAGAGGAAGGGTGGCGTTGAGAGGAAGGGTGGCGTTGAGAGGAAGGGTGGCGTTGAGAGGAAGGGCCATATAGCAGCGATGCGAGGGATGAGGGAGCGACAGAGATGCGAGAGGCGAGGGGGATGAGGGGGGAAGGGCGGAATGGACGAGCGTGGTACCGTGAAGGTCGGGGGAGAGCGCAATGGCGGCGTCTGCGATGTCCTTGAGCAAGATGGGCTTTGAGCCGCGCATCGTGCCGGAACACGTCAGCAGCACCCGCGACTCGCAGTCCTGCATGCGCTGCGCGAGCGACTCGGCGGAGAAGCCGCCGAAGACGACGGAGTGGACGGCGCCGATGCGCGCGCAGGCGAGCATGGCGACGGGCAGCTCGAGCACCATGGGCATGTAGATCGTCACGTAGTCGCCGCGCTTCACGCCTTGCGACCGCAGATACGCCGCCGTCTGCTTCACGCGCTCCAGCAGCTCCGCGTACGTCAGCGTGACGGAATCCGTCTCGTTGTTGCCCTCCCAGAAGAACGCGACGCGGTGCCCCTGCCCCTGCTCCACCCAACGGTCAACGGCGTTGTAGCAGATGTTGGTCGCGCCGCCTTTGAACCACTCCACGTTCACGCGCCCGCGCCGCACGTCCAGGTTCTCTGAATGCACCTTGCCGTCGGGCGACACGGGGAAGGGCGTGCGCCAATAGAAATGCCGCGCCAGGTCCGCCCAGAACGCGTCGGGTTCCTCAATTGAGCGCCGGTACATCTCTTCGTACTGTAACGGGAGATGACATGGGACGGCACAGGGAGGAACGGTGATTGGCACCACAATTTTCTTGTGTGTTGTCCACATATTTTCGGAATTACATGCTCGATTTGTCTCTCAGGGGAAATTTTTATCATCGACGAGCGACGAGTGACGAGCCACATCAATGTTGCTCGCGAATTATGCTTGTTTTAGTGGCCCGCCACCCAATTCTCACCTGCGCATAATCCTTCACGAGCGCCTGCGCGCGGAACTCCGCAGACGCCGTCACTTCCTCCCCCGCCTCGTGCGCCACTGCAATCTCCTCCGACGGCTTCGTCGCAGGCCTCACGTCCGCCAGCGCCGCGCGCGCCGGCGGAAGCCGCATTCTCCTGGCGCCGGCAGAATGGCTGCCCTTTTTCGACCGCGCTGCTGCATTGCGCAGGCAGCGCAAAACCGCCGCGTCACTCCCTAGGAACGCACTGCGCGCCGACGACGAAGCTTCAGCGGCGACGGGCTTGCTGACGGCCGCGAGCGGCTGCCGTGCGGCAACGCGAGCAGAGACGGAACACGCCATCGTGGACTCTTGACGTCAGGATGGCGACCTGGACAACAGGACGGCGACTCTAGGCGCACGCAGATATAGTCGAGTGTCGTGCTCGAAGAGAATGGGCACCTGTTGCTTCCAAACGGAGGATGAAGCTGAAGAAGGTGCGAGGGAGATAGAGAGGTGCGTAATACTGAACGATGAATGAAGGGTCGTGCACATATATGCTGCTCGAGGTCGAAATAGTTGAGGAAAATGGCGCCCCAGCGAGGGTTGTGTTTCTGCGAGTGCGATGAGGAAGTGGGACGCGGAACGCAGTTTCGTAACCTGGTAACGGCGTGCTGTCGTCCAATTCAGGAAAGGTTCACTTTGGCCAATCACAATAGCCAGCTGGAGCAATGGTTGTGGCTCTACGCAATTGACGGGTGACACGCGCATCGCGAGCGAGTTCATCGGTTTGGCCATGGGAAAGTTGATCTGGAGTAGCTTGTGTGAGCTGCTGTTTATCCAGACACGTGGGACGAGTCCGACTTCGACGAAGCTTATTTGAGATTTCCGGTGGTCCCAATCAATATCTTCGTTTTAACACCAGTGTATACGTGAACCTTGTACCCCTGCGATTTCGAAAATATGTATGATTCCCGTAAATAGGTCGAACAATGTAAGGAATTTTCTCAGGCATTCCTTACGGAGCCGACTACATCGCGTACAGCAACAGCCGACTGTTCGCCCGTTACTGCTAACGGAACTTCGCCGACTTCGCGCGCACTGTTTTGCCAAACCTCGCACTGCTGGCATGGCCGTATCGGCCTACGCTTCGGGACTAGCCCGAGCCTCGCTCCAGCGTAGCACTAGCAAGTTCGCACGCACCGCGTTACCGTTTTGCATGTTTCGCGTATAAATGCTCGCTCATGCCTTCGCTCACATTTTGTACTCGTTTGACACCTTAGTGCAATTCTCGCTACCTCGATTCATTGCACCCGTAACACTTGGTATCAGAGCCCCTTTCTTTCGGACCGCGCATCTCCGCACACCAGGAAATCAACTTTTGATTTTTCACTCGAAGGGACTCACGCACCTTAGCCCCTAGGAGCCGCTGTCCTCGCGTTCTCTCGTAAACGCGTGCAGCCACGACTGCGCCTAGACTAAGACGAGCCGACGCCCTTCGTCATGGCCGAAAACATCGACGTCACCACTCTCACGCAGGAGCGTTTGAACGATCTGCTGCGACAACTGCACGAAAGCTCCGAGGAAATCGCGGCATTGACGGCAGAACGCTCATCACTGCAAAATGACCTCATGAGAGCACAATCCCAAGCACCTGGCACCCCGATTCAACCTGCACCCTCAACATCACAACACGGGAGTGTGGGGCAACCCGCGAGCGCGGCCAGTGATGGCGTCGTCCGCCCCGACGGAGACGACGACCACGGCACGACACACCCCAGAGCGACGCCTGCGGCCCCAAGTCAGCCTCGCGTCACGATTTCGGCACCAACCCACGATTCGGGACTGCCGTCACCGATGCCGCTGAAACCGCAGCGCCCGCCATGCTTTGACCCGAGTCAACGGGGTGGTCCTACCGTTCAGGCGTGGTTATTCACAATGAATGTTTTCTTCGACGCCAACTACGTCTCGGAGGACTCGGCGAAGATTCGATACGCCGTGTCGTTGCTGCGAGGACCCGCCATGGACTGGTGGCGCGTCATCGTCACGAAGCCGACCGACTACGCGACACTACCGACACGGGAAGGACAAACCGGACCCTGGGCGCCGTCGTATTTCGTGGAGGTGCCCCAGTATCGCACGTGGGACGCGTGGTGCGCAGGTCTGCGCGCTCGATTTGAGCCAATCGCGGCCTCGATCTCGGCGCGACAGAAGCTCCGCACTTGGCGCCAACTCGGTTCCGTCCAGGATTACACGAGCGGATTTCTGGCGCTATGCGAGCAGGTGGGCTACATGCATGAGAGCGAACGCATCGACCGCTACATCGGCGGCCTGAAGCAGGACATCGCTCAGGAAATCCAGCTTCGCGGCGTCACTGAGTTTCAGGAAATTCTCGCTATGGCGGAGAAGCTCGACTTCTTTCGCCGACCGAGACCGGGGTCCTACGGAAACAACACCTGGGGACATCGGCCTCGTGGGACGAACGAGAGCGCCACGATACGCGCCGTCGCCGCAAATGCCGCTGCCGCACCGTTCAAAGGGCGCTGCTTTGCGTGCAATCGGCCGGGACATCGCAAGAGCGAATGCCCGGAAAACGCTAAGGGAAAGGGGGAAGCTGAGCAGCAGACACAGACCAAGCAGCAGGGAAACGCTGGAAGTCAGTAGCAGACGGGCCCTCTACTGACAGGTCACGCCGCTCGCCCGACCCAACCGACCCTCACCGAGTGATTGTGCCGGTTCACGCAATCGACCACACCCGGCCGAATAAGGAGGGTACCACGGTAGATAGCCCTATACTGCTCAGTGGGAAAATTGGGACGGACCTAGTTAAAATCTTCGTAGATGGGGGAGCCAGCCACAGCCTCATTAACACTGCTACAGCACGAAAACTGCGACTGCCACTGGACCGATGCTTACCTGAGATCGACGCACGACTGGTAGACGGCACGCCGCTGGCAATACGGGAACGCGTAGACCGAGTTCGGATTCGATGCGGGGGTAACTTCACGTTTAGTCAGGAAATGCTCGCAACGACCCTCGACGGAACCGACATTTTACTCGGGCGTGATTGGCTGCGACGACACAACCCGCGAATTGACTGGACGACGGGTGACTGCACCGTGCGAGTGAACGGTAACAGCATCGCCTTACCTCGCTGGGGCTCGCCTGAGTCTTCGTCGGTGCGTGTCAGCGCGATCACGATGAAACGCGCTGTTGCGGCCGGAGCCGACGTGTACGCGGTTGACATTCGGGAAGCCGAGGCAGCAGACAAGGGAGGCGATTTACAGAAACTGCTGACCGACGTACCGAGTGACCTGGCGGCACTGTTACAACAGTACAGTGACATTTTCCCGGATGACCTGCCGACGGGACTGCCACCTCAGCGACCGCACGATCACAGGATAGAACTGGAACCGGGGGCACAGCCAACAGTACAGCGACAGTTCCGACTGACCCAACCCGAACTAGACGAACTAAGGAAGCAGCTCGATTACCTGCTAGAAAAGGAATTCATTCGCCCTAGTTCGTCGCCTTTCGCCGCACCAATACTGTTCACACCGAAAAAGGACGGGGGTTTTCGCATGTGCATCGACTACAGGGCACTGAACAGGGTTACCATCAAATCCCGTTACCCCATCCCACGAGCCGACGAACTGATCGACCAACTGCGCACAGCCCGGGTTTTCTCGAAAATCGACCTCCGAGGAGGCTACCACCAAATCCGCGTCAACCCACCCGACTGCCCTAAAACCGCATTCCGAACACGCTACGGATCCTTCGAATACACCGTCATGCCATTCGGACTGACCAACGCCCCCGCCACTTTCCAAATGACCATGAACGAAGCATTCCGCCCGCTTTTAGATAAGTGCGTCATCGTTTATCTGGACGACATACTGATTTACAGCCCTGACAGAGCACAGCACTTACAAGACATCGAAGCAGTTTTTAAAATCCTGAGTGAGAACCGCCTACTGACCAAAGCATCTAAGTGTGAGTTTTTACAGGACCGCCTGGAGTTTTTGGGACATGTTATTTCAGCTGCAGGAGTAGAAATAGACCCGAAGAAAATTGCGACGATTCAGGCTTGGCACGCGCCGACCAACTTGACCGAGTTGCAGAGTTTCCTGGGGTTCGTCAACTACGTGCGCCGGTTCGTCCCCGACATGGCGAAACTGACTGCCCCGTTGACTGACCTGCTGAGGAAGGGGGTTGAGTACACGTGGGGGGAGAAAGAGCAAGCTGCCTTCTCGGCCCTCAAAAATATTTTGTGCTCCCCGCCCGTCCTTCACATTGCAGATCCCCACCGTCCGTTCGAGCTCGTCACCGACGCAAGTGACATCGCTGTGGGAGCAGTACTGTTGCAGGATTTCGGGAATGGCCTCCAGCCAATCGCGTACGAGTCCCGCAAGTTACACCCGCCCGAACGTAACTACCCGATACACGACCGCGAGATGCTAGCGATCGTGCACGCGTTCAAAGTTTGGCGATGTTACCTGACTGGTGCCGACGTGACAGTACGGACAGACCACCGCTCGCTACAGTACCTTCGCGCCCAACCGAATCTCAACCCACGACAGATTCGCTGGTTGGACTATCTCGAGTCCAATTTTCACTACACCGTCACGTACAAAAAAGGAGCATCCAACATCGCCGACGCTCTCACCCGCCCCACCGCCCAACTCCACGCCATCCTACTCGCCCAGACCAACCCGCTTTTAACTGGCCTATTCACCCACGGATACCGCACCGACCCATTTTTCACGACCGGAAATTCACAGCAACTGGCAGAAGCAAAAGGAGTTTATTACGTAAAAACAGGCACCAACCGCATTTGGGTACCCGCGTACTCACTACTGAGGGAGCTGCTGCTGCAGGAGGCACACGACGGGATTACCTCGGGACATTTCGGGGTAGAAAAAACACGACAGCAACTGCAGCGGTACTATTACTGGCCGGAGCTGTTGACCGACGTACAGCAGCACGTGGGCTCGTGCCCGACGTGTCAGGTGATGAAGAGTTCAAGGAAGCGGAAGGCGGGTCAATTGCAGCCGATCCCACCGCCCGAACGCGCCTGGCAGCAAGTAACCATGGACTTCGTCACAGGGTTACCTTCGAACCCTGGGGGTAACGACGCGGTGATGGTCGTCGTGGATAGGTTGACGAAGATGGCACACTTCGCTGCGTGCAAAAAGTCGATCTCAGCCGAAGAGACCGCTCGCCTGTTCATCGCAGCCGTTGTTCGCCTGCACGGGATACCAGCAGCAATTATCAGCGACAGGGACACGAAGTTTACCAGCAACTTCTGGAAGAACCTCTGGGAGCAGTTCGGGACCAGGCTACAGTTCAGTTCGTCGTACCACCCCGAGACCGACGGCCAAACGGAGCGGACGAATCAGACGATGGAGCAGTTGATTCGTGCCACGTGCGACGACCCCACGACCTGGGAGCAGCAGCTGCCGCTGATCGAGTTCGCGTACAACAACGCCACATCAGCCACGACGCAGCAGTCCCCGTTCTACCTGAACTATGGGCAGAACCCCACAGTGCCCATGATGCCGAGTCCGGACAACCCAACGCCACGCGCACAACAATTCGCCGAAATCCTGCAAGCTGCCCGCGCCAGAGCCGCCGAAGCAATAAAAAAGGCCAACGTCATCGCTAAGCGCAACGCTGATCGCCACCGCCGCCCCGTCACGTATCAATCTGGAGATTACGTGCTACTCGACACGCAAAATCTGCGACTGCCCGACGTACCAAAATTACGACCGCGCTACTGTGGACCATTCCAAATCAGTCACATGATCACACCCGTCACCGCGCACCTACTGTTGCCAATTGACTGGTACATCAGCCCTTCGTTCCACGTCAGCCTACTTCGCCCATACATCCCGACCACGAGTCAACTGCCGCGTCACCGGCCACAATCAATGACTCGCCCTGCATCAGAGCCGATCATCGAGCCCGAAAAATTTTTGAGCCATCGGATCCGCCACCCCACGGGAATCAGGAGGATTGAATTCCTCGTTCGCTGGAAAGACCGCACGCCAACTGAAGATAGCTGGGTGCCCCTGAGCAACATCGAAAATCACCCTGCCCTGCAAGTGTACTTGAGAAGCCGGGGATTCCGCGATATACACGCACTCGCGTAGCGGAGGGGGCTTCTTAAGGGGGGGGGGGTAGTGTAAGGAATTTTCTCAGGCATTCCTTACGGAGCCGACTACATCGCGTACAGCAACAGCCGACTGTTCGCCCGTTACTGCTAACGGAACTTCGCCGACTTCGCGCGCACTGTTTTGCCAAACCTCGCACTGCTGGCATGGCCGTATCGGCCTACGCTTCGGGACTAGCCCGAGCCTCGCTCCAGCGTAGCACTAGCAAGTTCGCACGCACCGCGTTACCGTTTTGCATGTTTCGCGTATAAATGCTCGCTCATGCCTTCGCTCACATTTTGTACTCGTTTGACACCTTAGTGCAATTCTCGCTACCTCGATTCATTGCACCCGTAACAAACAAAAACCAAACACAAAGTCGGTAAAACAAAAGACCTCAAACATTCCCCCCGATAGTAGAAGCATTTTTGTCTGGAAGCCTGTCGGTGACACGTCAGATATCGCTATACGGTTACAACCATCACCGAAAAAGAGAGCCAATCACAATCGCTCCACTTTTGGCTTGGGAGGGGCACTTTCTTGCCGAGTGAGCAGCTAGCTGTACAGTACAGCTCAGGCGGAGCAAGGATTGTAGCCTTGGGGGACGAAATGCGAGTGGAGACTGGAGAGCACCCGCGTACAACTGCGAGGGGAATTTAGTCGCTTTTTTTTTCCGCTTGTCCCCCCACTCAACGCATTTCCTCGCTGTCCCCAAACCTACCCAACCCGCCCAACCATACCGAACCCAAGCCTCTTGCAACACATGAGCGAGCGGACCGTCGGGTTGAGCAGCATGGCGCGGAGCGGTGCGGAGGCGCAAGGAAGGGACGAGATGGGCGCACAGCAGAAAGAAGGAGCACATCGTCCACAGTCGGCTCAGCAGCATCCGTTGTGGCAGTTGCGGCCAGGCACACGCTTCTTCTCGACAAGCCGCCTCCCAGTTTTCTTGCTGTTTCTAGCTCCACGCACTCAACTTGCTCCTCGAAGCAATGTTAGTCCGTGACCAGCCTTGTTCAGTGTTCCCTACTCCTGACTTAACGCTGTTCCTCTGCGCATCTCAGAAGTAGTTTGTTTTTTCTGCGTTGTTCGCTCCGCGCATCACGCCGATCGCCACCACGGAAGAGCACTAATCAGCCGTGCGGTTCCCCCCACTGTGTCGCGCGCTCCCAGCGTAACGAAACGCTTGGCGCCTCAAACTCGACGCGCTCCCTCGGCGCGCAACGCATCAACCGCTCTTCTATCCTTTCATTGTGACTCCACCACCGCCGCAAGCCACGCATGCGAAGAGCGCAAACACCGTTGCAATGCCGATCCATAGTAGACGCTCCGCTTTCTCGCGCCACGTTCTGTTGCCGCTCCTCCTGCTCGTTCTCCCCTTCATAAGCCATGTCACCGCGCAGACCAGCGCAAAAACGTACCCGCTGTGCCCGTTCACGCAGCAGCCGCCGGCGAAGCCGAACGTGACGATGGCGCGGTGCGTGGACGCGTCGGAGCGCGCGTGCTGCGCGGACTGCAGCGACGCGAGCAACGCGCTGCACGGGCTGACGGCGAACCAGACCGTTGTGCTGGAGATGCTCAAACCCGAGATCGTCGCCATCATCGGCAACAAGGACGTGCAGGTGACTATAACGCGGCCGACCAGATCGCAGTAGCGCGCGCGTGCTAGTGACTGTAGCGAGGAGGAGCAGGTGAGAAGACAAAAACACGTGCGCGGTCTCCTATTCCATAGGTGCTAGCCAATGGGTACTCAGTAATCCAGTTCTGGGTCGCATCACCCCAATCCCTCCGCCACCCCACGGTTCCCGCTGTGCTCCCGATATCCGCGCGTGTGCATGTGCGTGTGCGCGCCTTGCGGGGGCGGGCGGTTGGCAGCAATGCGCGATGTTCGTGGGGTTCGACGCGTGCAGCTACGACCTGGAACAGCTCTACTGCGCCATCACCTGCAACCCCGGTCAGCCCCTGCCCATGCCCACGCCCATGCCCATGCCCATGCCCATGCCCATGCCCATGCCCATGCCCATGCCCATGCCCATGCCCATGCCCATGCCCATGCCATCACATGCCATGCGTACTACTACCCGTAAGCATACCCATATCCGTGCCATCTATGCGTCCATATGTCCATGCCATGCCCTGCCATGCCATGCCCATCCCTCCTGACCACCCACCATCTGACGCTCCTCGTCACCCCCCACGCCACCTTCTCTCCGTGTCGCCACGGCACCAGATGGCGGCACGTATGTGAAGGCGTCGACAGCGACCACTGGCGCGCTCACGGTGTGCGATGCGTTCGCCACCCAGGTGTACGCCGACTGCAAGAACGTGCCCAGTGCGTGGGGAGCGAGGGGAGGGGGGAGGGGAAGTGGGGAAGAGAAGTCAGACAGAGGGGCATTGAGAGGGAGAGGCAGAAGGGGGGTGTTAGTCAGAAGGGTTGCATGGGTGCATCCAGAGAGGAATTGAGGGAGCTGGCTGGGAGGCATCTCCTGTGAGGTGCTCGTGTTTATGGGTGCATGGGTGCAGGGGCTCATGCGTTTATGTGTGCATGGGTGCATGGTTTCTATGATATCCATAACCTTGCTGTGTCCTCAACGGCTCTCCTGATGGTGTTGCATGGTGGGGAACTGCATTGTGGTATTGCTCTCCTTGGGATGGTGTCATGGCACTGTCATGGATGGCATGGGCATGGATGGCATGGCATGGCATGGATGGCATGGCATGGCATGGATGGGCATGGCATGGGCATGGATGGGCATGGCATGGCATGGCAGTGATGGGGCAGGCGACACTGGGCAAACTATTGAGCAACAAGGAGATATTCATCAAGCTCGTCTTCGGCCTGCTCTTTGCACGCTTCAGCGGCATCAACGTCACCGTCAACGTCGCCCAGGTGCCCACCACAACCGCCATAACCACCACATCCACATTTCCAATCTTGATACAGCACATTTCCCCCCATTTTTTAACCACTATTGCCGAGCCTCCAGCGCAAGCAAGCCATGACCAAGTGATGCTGTGGCCATGCCATGCAGGGGGAATCGGTGTGCTACAACGGGCCCAGCAAACCCCTACCTCCCAAGCCAGTGTGCTGTGAGACGTTCACCAACACCCCTGGCTGCTCCTTCAAAAACGACTCCCTCCTCGCGCCCTATGTCGGCCGCCCCATCAATCCCAATGCGTGTGCTGCGTACATGAATGGGTCGAGTGCGGTTGATTCCAACATCCCAGGTCCCGTGAATGCCAACAGCTCGCCGCCTTCAGGCTCGTCGGCCAGCAGCAGCAGCAGCAGCAGCAGCAGCAGCAGCAGCAGCAGCAGCAGCAGCAGCAGCAGCAGCAGCAGCAGCAGCCCTCCACCCCCCAAAAATGCCCCCAAGACTGCATTGAACAGTGTCTCCGTGCTTGTCAAATCATTGGTCTTCGTGGCGTTTCCCATGCTATTATTGTAACACTTATGTCACAAACGGCAATTGTAAGATTTGCAGTTGTGGTCAAGCTTCCTGGTACACTCCTGATTGAACTTGATTCACAGCTTGCAACCAGCTTGCGGGTTTTCATTCCTTTTCTTTTTAAATTCTGAGAAGTCCTGCCTAATGGTGTACATTTCCCCCAGACGACCCTTCAATCGGGGCAGTTTCAATTTCACACCACCTTTCCCTTAAAACCATATATCGCACCTAGTTGTGTAGCGAAGCAGCGGCTGCAGCGCTGCACCGAATCGCAATGGCAGAGAATGAAAGTATCGCGCTCGCGCAGAGGGCGTGCGGAGAAAGCGGTCCGCGCATAGAGACAAGTGCGCGTGGAGCTCGTAGGATTGGTAGTGAGGACGCGGAATCATCACGGTGTGGCGCGGAGGGGCACGAGGCCCTGGAAACTTCCTCGAAAGTGAATGTTGAGAATCGGGTGGATAAGGATAGTCGCGAGGAGAAACGCGCGGGGGAGGGTAACGAGGGCGATGAAGCAGATGATGATTACTTGGTGCTGAGCGAGGTCCACGTGGCATGCCCCTCGCACCACGTCAGCACAGTCAGCACCTTCGCCTTCCGCCTGCCCCCTGCGGTGGCGGCAGCGGGATGGGCGCTACGCGGGGAAGCGGAGAATGCAGAGGGGTGGGAGGGGTCAGAAGACGCGGGGCGGAGTGGCGCGGCGGAAAGCACAGAGGGGATAGCAGGGGAGGGGGAGGGGCGGCGGGACACGGAAGGGGCGGGAGTGGCGGTGGATTCGGACGGTGATCTGCTGGTGGCGCGGCGCAAGCGGCGGCGCATAGGCAGTGGTGGGGGAGGCACAGGCGGTGGCGGCAGTGATGGCGCTGGTGGTGGGCAGAGAGGTGAGGGCGGGCGAGTGGGGAAAAAGGGTTTTTGAGAGGGGGGAGAGAGGAGGGCAGGAGGGCTGGCAAGGGGGAGCGGGATGAGCTTGCTGAAGCTTCTAGTGGGCCGCGTGCTGCCTGTGATGCCGCTAACCGCGCTGCTCTCCTCCCCAACCCCCCTTGTCCGTTTCGCTCCCCTCTTCTGCTGACAGGGCAGGCCGTATTGCGCAGCTGCCAGCAGCAGGAGTGCCACGTGGCATGGCAGTGCAGGCGGGTGCAGGGCCGGACGAAAACGAGGATGGGGAGGGGAGCGGTGAGAGGGGGGAAGGGGAGGGGCCTGCAGAGGTGGAGGAAGCAGGCGGAGTGGAAGGCGGGAGAGAAGGGGAAGAGGGGGGAGAAGGCGGTGGAGGGAGCGGGTGGATGAGGGTGGTGATCCGGCACACTATGAAGACCAGCATCGCCAATGTCGGCACACAGGTGAGCACGTGGGCACGTGGGACGTCGCCCTGCCCTGTTCTCACCTGCCCTGTTCTCACCTGCCCTCATTCACCCCACTCATACCAAGCCCCTCTGCTCTCGCCCCCTGCCCTCCACTCCACCCCCTGCTGTGCCTCACACCTCCTCTCTGCTCGCCTCCCCTGTCAGCCCATACCACGCTCTCACCCCTCGTCCGCCTGCAACCCCCACTCTTCCCCCCCCAGGTGTGGAGGGCATCACTGCTGCTGGCGGACGTCATGGTGGCCAACCACCGCCTGCTGGGGGGCGCCACTGTGCTCGAGCTGGGGGCGGGCGCAGGTACACCTGGGGGCGGGCGCAGGTACACCAGGGCGGGCGCAGGTACACCTGGGGGCGTGTGGCGCTCTGGGCACAGGTGCGTGTGGGGTGAGGCGTGGCGCTGTGGGCATGTATGGTGGCTAGCGACTGTTTCAAGCTGCACCCTTGCTGCGCCTCTGCTTACGTCCTCTCTGCCCCCACTGCCCTGCCCCACCCTCCTCTGCCTGCACGGGAGCAGGGCTGGCGGGCATCACGGCGGCACACTTCGCCACCCGTGTCATCCTCACAGGTACCACCTCCCCTCACTTCACTCTCCTCTCTCTCTCCCTCCTGCCGCCGCTCCTTTGACTCTGCGTCTGCTCACCCTTCATCCCTCACATGCCCTCACACATCTCTCTCTCACCGTCTTCCCTGCCTCTGCTCCCTGCCCTGCTTCCCTGCACCCGCACTGCCATGGCCCTGCGCTTCACCAGACACAGGCGAAGGCGTGCTGCGCAATTGCGCTGCCAACGCCATCGATGCCGCCATGGCAGCCAGTGCAGCCAGTGCAGTCACGGGTTCCTCGTGGCACCCCCCCAGCCCCGTGGCAGCAGCGCTGGTTCGCCGCCTAGACTGGCGCCACGGCTGGCCGCCTCCCGTGGTAACCGAGCGCTCTGCGCTCCACCAATCAGCAACCAGCTCTGGCTACAGCAGTGCACCGGGCAGGGCGGCAGGCGCACAGGCGGGAATGGGTGGCGCAGTGGACGAGTTTAATGGGATAGACCCGTTTGGGTGGACCGAGGAGGAAGTGGGTGACGCCAGCAACGCCACCGTGCTGCTGGCTGCTGACGTCATCTACAGTGATGACATCACGCGTGCCTTCTTCGGCACCCTTCGCTCCCTCCTGCGCTGCGGCCCTCCCAAGGTGCCTCCTCTGTACCTCTCTCTCCTTTCATTCATCTTGTACCTCCCACTCCCACCATGCTTTCCACCATCCGTAACTCGCAAGCAACTCATTTATTGCCACACATGATTCACACTCTGAAAATCAACCCGAAGGTGCTACAAGTGTCAGCTCCTCCTTCCTGCTGCGTCTCATGGGCCTCATTGTCCCATTCTCACCAACCTCCCATTCTGTATCTACCTCTTCCTCTCGGCCTCTCCTTTCCCTGCCTGTATGACCCCCCCCTCCCCCCAACCAGCTCCTACTGCTGGCGTTGGAGAAGCGCTTCAACTTCTCCCTCTCCCACCTCGCCCCTGTTGCCAACGGCTACGCCGTCTTCCGCTCCCACTTCGCCGCCCAAAACGGTGCTCCCAGCTGCTACAGTGGCGGCCACTGTAGCAGCGCGCAGCAGGCAGCACAGGCAGGAGAGGCCAGCTGCAGACTGGCCGAGCAGACAGGTGGTGGGCGGGGGACGAGGGTAGATGGGTGGCAGACGGTCGTGGATGGGCGGCAGAGAGAGGGGGATGGGGACAGGGAAGGGGAGGAGGAGGGGGAAGAGGAGGAGCTGTTGGGGTGGCGCATGGACGTGGGGCAGGTACCGCAGCACGTGGTGGGGTGGGAGAGGGGGAGCGACATGGAGCTCTGGGTCATTGGCAACCAGCGGTCACTGCCGCTGGTGTGTGAGTGGATAGAGAGGGGCGTTGGTCTGTCTTTCTGCCAAGGGGGAGAAGAGGAGCAGTGCTCCCCTCCTGAAGCCTTACAAGCAAATCCCTGAGTCCCACAGTTAAGTTCTTGATTATCTCAGTGCTTTCACATGGAAGTGCAGTCTGACAGGGCATTGTGTTCTGCAGTTGCGTGGTGCCATCTTGTTAAGCACTCGTAACCATGAAGTTATGACCTCGTACACAATCTATGATGGACTGGAACATACGGTATATACATTGGCCGGATTATGCAATTTTCTGCTCTAAAACAGTAGTGCAAGAGGGAGTAGGCAAGGCAAAGAGAGAATACGCAAGGCACCATAATAATGACGGCGCCACAATTGATCATCACACTCCCCGTAATGCTGCTCAGTACACGAACGGCACGAACCGCTTCACCCTCTTCATATAGGCAAGGTACCTCTCCCCGAACCGCTCCCTCAGGTGCCTCTCCTCCACGCGCGCCTTGGCGTCATGCACCGCCGCCATGGCGCACGCCGCCAGCAGCCGCGCCGTGCTGCCCGTCACGCACGCGACGGCGGCGGAGAGCAGCACGGCGGCGGCGTACATGGGGTGGCGCGCGAAGCGGTACACCCCGCCCGTCTTGAGCCCAGCGCCGTCCGTGCGCGGCTTGGGGAAGGGCGAGAAGCTTCCTGCAAGGTCGTTGAACGACGCGAGGCCAAGATACACGCTCAGCACGAGCAGCGGCACTCCCGCCACGAACGCGCCCTCGCGGACGGATTGAGACGCGCAGAAGGACAGCGGCAGGCGGAGCTTTTCTGAGACGAGCCAATCGGGAAGTGGGAAGAAGACGAGAATGATGGCGAGGAGCTGCAACGGGACCCATAGCTCTCCGCGCGTGCCTATGGTATTTTTATCGACGATGTGCGCCCAGTAGCCTTGGCGCTTCGGCATGGTGGGCTTCTGCATCATCGGCGTGCTGGGAACTGGTATGTCTGAGCTGTCAGCAGGGCGAGACGCCATGGCTACACTTCGGAAAAGAAGCAGCGAGTGTTACGGATAATTGAAAGATAGGCGAGAATCCCTGTAAGACTGCGATTAGATCGCTGCACGCTGGCGGAAGTAGAAGAGAATGGGGTTTGTTGAGGAAATCAGCAGTGGTCGTGGTGCTAGTACAGCAGACAGCAGGGGTGGCTGGGATTGCAATGGGGTGAGGGCGCGAATTTCCATCAATTGTGTTGAAATGTTGTCTCGATCGAACATCGAGTCGCTCGGACAGTGCGGGCGTGATTGTGAGACGAGCTGACTCGGAGCATGCAACTGGTGCATCCTTATTCGACCACGTGGCGTTCCACTTTTCGCTGATCCTGCTTGCGCAATTGAGACACACGGTAAATTTCAGTGCAGTGCAGTGTACAGATCGAGCGTCAAACTTTTGTTATAACCGAAACTCGTTCTATCAGCCAAATCATTCACTACAATCACGGATCCTTCGAATTCGTCACCCCACCCAACCCCTCCACCGCGTCCACCCCACACGCAAAGCCGAGCACCACCCTTCTTTTCCTATCTCCTCCTCGTTACTCGCTCCATGCTAGCGCACTCACCGCGTGTTCCGCTCGGCCCGTCGCGACCACTCCGCGATTTTCCCACCGCCAACTCAGATCGACTCGCTCATTCCGTCGCCTGTCCGCATTCGAACGAATCCCCTTTCATTTTATTCCCCGTCGTTCGATTCGCCACCATGTATCGCGGAGTGGTAACCAGATCGCTGAGCGCGGTGGCTCGTAGCAGCCGTCGGATCTCGTCCGCGGCACCCTCGAGGCGCCTCCACCAGCTTAGGAACCAGAATCTCTTGCCCTGCGCTCCCGAGACCACCCCGGTTTTCGGATCGTGCGGCGGGAAAGGCTCGTTACTGGCAGGCTGCAATCGCAGCCGTTGGATCCACCCGTCGTTTGCGGCGCGAGGGTTTGCAACGTCGTCGACCGATGCGGGGCTTCTGAAGGTTCTTAAAGCGGAGCTGGAGCACGAGGAGCAGGACTACGAGCCGCCCGAAGTGAGTTCCTCCGTTTAGTGCACAGTGCGGCGCGCGCGACGGTGAGGTTGACATGGCGGAGCGCTTACAGCTGAAAATTGTAGAATGCGTCGTTGATCGACGGCCTGAATCAGGGTTGTTTAGTTGGAATCGCTACGCAGTCAGATCCATCATCGTGCTTTCAGCGATGCCTCTTCCTCCTCCTCTCCCTCTCATATCCCGCTGGTCACTCCCTCAACGTTCCCCCCATCCCCCAACCCCTCCTTCTCCCCCAACCCCTCCTTCAACCCCGCATTCCCCCATTTCCCCATTCCCCCATTTCCCCGTTCCCCCACTTCCCCACACCCACGTCCCCCCACCCCCCCAGGACCTGAAGGAGGGGCCCCCCGCGGAGTGGACGGTGGAGGAGCAGGCGGGCACCATCGACGCGGTGCTGAAAAGAACGTACCAGGGGGAGGCGATATCCGTCGTCGCCGCCTTCGCGGACGACGACGAGGCGTATCCAGAGGAGGGCGAGGGGGAGAGCGAGGAGGAGGACGAGGAGGGGGAGGGGGAGCGCCTCACGCCGCTGTCGGTGCGCGTGACCGTTGCCAAGAAGGCGGATCAGCCGGAGCTGGAGATCGACTGTGTGGTGGACGGCAACTCTTGGATTATTCAGGACGTGCGTCTGGAGGACCCCAACGTGCCCGAGGACGGCATTCCCTATGGCGGCCCGCAGTTCTCGTGAGTGCATTCCCCTCTCCATCTGCTCCCCCTGTTCCTTCGTCCCCTTTTTTCACACACCCCCATTCCCCTTTCCTTCCCCCTTCACTGCGTCTTCGCATTTTTGCTTTGTTCAAACCGTCCTATGCCCACAGTCCTAAGCAAACTAGCTGTTCCGCGCATTCTACCCTTTTACTAACTCACCTTCTCCATCCCCTCCCACTTCACCCTGCGCCTTATCAAGCCCTCCTGTATTTCCATTTCTCCTCTCCCCCATCCGCACCACCTCCACACCCCCCCTCCCCCCTGGCAGCACGCTGGATCCAGTGCTGCAGGAGCAGTTTGACTCGTTCTTGAGGCGGAGGGGCATCAGCGCAGGCCTGGCGGCGTACCTGAGGCGGTACCTGGAGGACAAGGAGCAGCGCGAGTACGTGCGCTGGCTCAAGAGGCTCGGTGCCTTTGTCGCGCAAAAGTGATGATACGGTATAATGAAGGCTTTGCCTATACTAGGTATATCTACCATACAATGAACGCTTCCTAGTGGCATGACATACGGTAGTTTGGTTTGGACCTCACCTCACCCACCTCACCCCCTCATAGTTCAGGGAACTCCACAACACAACTCTCTGCAAAGACCTGTAGCCAACGCGCACCAACCCTAGATCGCTTCCCCAGATTAAAGATGCAGAGTCCTAGAGCATTCAGTGGCGCATGGCAAGCAGGCAGCAATGGCACGTAAAAATGGACTCAATCAGGGGGCACAACACAAACATGAACATATCTCACTAGGGGTGTGGGCATAAGGTGCCCAAGTGCCTACCAAGACACTCCACCCCACATCCGTAACGACTCACGCCCACTCCCCCTCCTCCAGAGGCTTCACCAGCTGCTCACTCTGCCACCCCAGCCCCTCCCTCACAAACCCCATCCACTCGTCCCCCTCACACCCACTCCCATACCCACTCTCCTCCCCACCCCCCAACTCCCCCTCTCCCCCACCGCCAACTCCCCCCTCTCCCCCCTCACCCTCCCCCGCGGCCAAGTGGCGCTGCACCTCCCCGCCAAACTCCCTCTGCAAGTCATCCGAAGCCCCAATGAGCAGCACCTCGCACCCGGGGTGGTCCAGAAAGCCAGGTGGGTCGGCAGGGGCGAAGCGCAGCCCGTTGAGGCGGTGCTGCAGCGGCGGGGGGAAGGCTTGCAGGCGCACTGAGGGGCGGGCCAAGTAGGGCAGCCTGCTGGGCGCCTGTGGGTTCTTCACCTGCAGCACGTAGGAAGCTTCCCTCTCTATATTGAACGCCTCCTGTGGTGTCTCCACTTTCTCCCCCTCCGCCTGACCTGCACTCTTGGTTTGGTTCCCCTTGCCACAGACAGCTTCCTCCTTAACTCCTGCCTGCGCGCCCTCCCCTTCCTCCTGCCCTTGTCGCCCTCCTGCCTTCTCCTCCTCTCCCGCTGCCTCGGGCCACCGGAGTGAGTACACCAGGTGGGTGTGACTCTTCCTGCTGCTGCTGCGAGCTGCCCCTCGCCCCGTGGCCCCTCTGGCGCCAGGCACCTGCCTCACAATCAAGTACCTGCCTCACAATCAAGTACCTGCCTCACAATCAAGTACCTGCCTCACAATCAAGTACCTGCCCGCTGCTGCCGCCCGCGCTGCTGCCACATGCTGTGTGCCACGTGTCTTGGTCTCGTAGGTGTGTGCAAGGGTGGGTGCGTGAGTGGCGGGGGGAAATGGGAGCAAGAAAAGCAAGGCGAGAGTTACAGATGCATGGACAAGAAAAGCAAGGCGAGAGTTACAGATGCATGGACAAGAAAAGCAAGGCGAGAGTTACAGATGCATGGACAAGAAAAGCAAGGCGAGAGTTACAGATGCATGGACAAGAAAAGCAAGGCGAGAGTTACAGATGCATGGACAAGAAAAGCCCATTCCAGAGGAACCATCTACTGATAACTCGCCTTGGAGCAAAAAGTGAGGATGCAGGCAGTACAGAAACGTCGAAGCGATCAGTTGAGCGTGCAGTGAGTGGCCGTTTACCCACCTCCCTCAAGCGCCGCCCTGATGTCCTCCACGTGGGGGCACACGGCATCCACATAGCCCCAGTGTGGTCGAGAGCGGTGCGAGGGGGTGGGCAGCAGCTTGCGCCCCACCACCAGCAGGCGCAGAGGGGGCCTTTCCTCTGCCTTCCCTTCCTCTGCCCCCCTATTGTCTCCCATACCGCTCGCCACACCCTTTTCTTCCTCCTGCTGCTGTTGCTGCTGCTCCTTCTTTTCCTCGTCCTCTTGCTTGCTCTGCTTACCCCTCTCCCCTTCCCCCTCCCCCTCCACTTTTTCCTCCACCGCCTCTTGCTTCACCTGCTTCCTCCTCAGCCCCTCCCGTCCTGCCTCCCCCTTCTCATCCCCCTCCCGTCCTGCCTCCCCCTTCTCATCCCCCTCCCGTCCTGCCTCCCCCTTCTCATCCCCCTCCCGTCCTGCCTCCCCCTTCTCATCCCCCTCCCGTCCTGCCTCCCCCTTCTCATCCCCCTCCCGTCCTGCCTTCCCCCTTCTCATCCCCCTCCCGTCCTGCCTCCCCCTTCTCATCCCCCTCACCCTCTCCTCTCGCCCTCTTCCTCCCATCTCCATCTCCCCCCTCCTCCCTCTTGACACCTTCCGCGTCACCATCACCCCTTTCCCTCACTCCGCTCTCCCCCGCCACCTCCCTGTCGGCTGCATCCCCTCCCTCCGCCTTCACCCCTCGAGCCTGCCCCGGCTGCTCTTCCTCCGCCTTCCGCGCTTCCCCTCTGACCTTTCCCTCCGCCTCCTCCGCCTTTCCCCCGCCATACGCGCGCTCGCCGCTGTCCAGCGGGCGGAGCAACATGTAGAAGCGCTGCACTTCATCCACGCTATGCGCCTCCTCGCGATTCACTTTAGGGCGGTAAAAGAAGAAAATATCGCCTCGTTCCTGATGAATTCCCATCCATCCAAGCACGAGACAAAAAGGTAAGCGTCCGTGAAACAAGTGTGAAAAGCGGAGGGCGCCATGGCGATGCGCGTGGAGCGGCGCGGACGGCGCAGACCGCGCTGAAAGCCATCTTCACATCGTGAACTCACCAGAACGAGGTAGGGCTTGTGTATGTCAACCATGGTCGGAGGTCGAGAGGGATGGACGGCATGGATCGACGTGCACTATATCGTACACCACACGATTGGCCAGTGCGCCGGTAGTCGCAGCGGTCCTTCTTTCGCCCTCGGAAAAGTTCACTCCTCCCGTCACAAGGGACAAGCTCTCAGTTCGCAGATCGCCTCTCATGTCGACTCGTAAGGTGTGTGGCTCTAGTGAATAGATAGCAATCGTAGCGCGGTTTTCCTGCGCCATGTGGTGCTGAGAACCTGGATGTGGATGTGGGGCTGCATGGCTCGAAGAGAAACTATGATTGTACGGCATTGTAAGCGATTCGCTTGGGATTAAAGATTTACTATATACACGTTTAGCAGTCCATTGAAGTATTTTTCTTGCCGTTTCAACAGTTCATAGATTCTCCCTGCTTTCCAGACCCCACTGACCTGGACAGCTTGTCGTCTTGCGTGTTTCAAATTGTTTTGCGTCACGCTGGAACTGCCACCCAAGGTTTTCACTGTAGTCGCTCGTACCCAACCCGCTGATTTCTAGGTCTCTAAACGAAACGAACCAAACTCGAAAAGTGGGGCAATCCCAAGGCTGCTGTGCGTGTTCCCGTTCCGTGCCGATCTGCGCGCGCACCGCCCAACCAAACCGTGCTCCTCAGCTCCTACTGGCTCCCTCTCTCTGCTCACTTTCTCCCACTTGCTTCTCTCTGCTCGCGTTTCTCCCCTGCTGCCTGTTCCACTTCACCTGCTGCTTCCTGTTTCTACCCACCATTCTTCCGCGTTTCACGTTAGGCGTCCACGGATCACCTCTTCGCGTTTCACAAGCGAGCGGTTTAGTTTCAAATGATATACTACTTTAGGTCTCTCGCGGCGCATGGGTTCGTATCCACAGCGTTCCTTCGCGTTGTTTAAATCAGTGCCGAGTCGGTTTTGAAGCCGAGGATGTCGGGAACGCTGATTGGTCAGGAGCTGGAGCCTTCTCTGCTCGTAGACGTGGAGCTGCACTCGCCGCGTGATCCGGATCTTCATGCGAGTCAGCATGCGCATCAGCAGCAGCTGGGCGGGAAAATGGAGTACAATTACCTCCAGGCACGTTTCGCGGAACCGAGCCTTTATGTTTGTTTCCAGGAAGGAAGCAGAATAAGGGAATTGCGTTACGCGGCGACGTCCTTATTGACGGTTCTTGTTACGACGCCATTCCGGCGTATTTCCGCGTTAGAGTTTTTTTTTGGCGTATGTCGAAGACTGGATGTAACCTGTAAGCAGCAGGTTTCTGCATTGCCATCGACGCATCAACAGCAGCACGGCTATATCTTAACCTGATCTCGATGCTGGATTAGGGCTTGGATTACGGTCACACGCGACGGTGCGACTTCGTTGGTACTGCGACGCGGTAGTGCCTGGACAAGCGGTTTGACTTAGTGGCCTCGATAGAGCTCCCCGCTGATACATAGCTGTCAGGGAAATACTGCGGCTTATGGCCGCTGATCAAGTAGCTAATGGAACGCCTTTTAAGGATTTATGAATTCGTTTACTCAAGCGGTTACTAAATAACGTATACTATTCTTCGAGTACATTGCTTCCCGTTCTTAAGTGGACGATTAGTACATCGTTTTTGTTAATACGCATCGATAGGAATGTGTCCACTGGTTCCCCCCACAACTGCGCACTCCTCCTCTTATCACTCCTCCCGCGCGTAGATCTCTCTCTCTCTCTCTCTCTCTCTCTCTCTCTCTCTCTCTCTCTCTCTCTCTCTCTCTCTCTCTCTCTCTCTCTCTCTCTCTCTCTCTCCCCACATACACGAAAACCGCATGTTGTTAGGTTTCCCGAGCAAAAATAACAATCCTCACCCTTATCCCCGCTCACGTGCAATCCGCGCGTGCCTGTGTGCGCATGTGATGCCGGTGGGTGCGCGCAGCGGGTGAAGGTGTACCGCCTGAACGACGACGGCAAGTGGGACGACAAGGGCACGGGCCACGTGTCCGTCGAGTATCTCGAGGTGAGGCCCGGGGACAGGCACGGGGGAGGGTGAGAACGGAGCAGACTCGCCTGCCCGATCTGCCATTCGTTCTGCAGAAACCGCACGCTCGTGTCTAGCCCGACGTTCTAACACTCGCTTTCCTCTCCCCCTCCTCGTACCCGTGCGTGGCGGGGCTATGCGTGGGTGGCGTGGCACGTTGGCAGCGGTCGGACGCGATAGGGCTGGTGGTGATCGACGAGGAGGAAAACGCCACGCTGCTGGTGTGTCCTAAACACGTGAAAGTCCCATCAAATACTTGTCTTTCTGCCTTTCCTCCTGTCACCCATGTGGCAGCGGTCGGACGCGATAGGGCTGGTGGTGATCGACGAGGAGGACAACGCCACGCTGCTCGTGCACCGCATCTCCACCGACGACATCTACCAGCGCCAGGAAGGTACCTACCGCCGGGGGGAGGTACACCCAGGGGAGGTTGCGCTGGGGGGAAGCAGACCTAGAGGTAGCGCCAGGGGAGTTAGAGCCAGGGGAGGTAGCTCTGGAAAGGTAGCCTCACTTGGAAAGGTAGCCTCACTTGGAAAGGTAGCGCTAGGGAAGGTTGTTCCAGGGAAGTGCAGAAGGCAGGCTCTTGGTTTCCACAGCGATCATCCCTTCCCCTTCCCCCTTTTCACCCCGTTCACCCGGATCAACCCACTTGTTCCTCTCCCCCCTTCCCCCCCCCCCCAACTTCATCAGACACCATCATCTCGTGGACGGACCCCGAGGTGGCGACGGACCTGGCGCTCAGCTTCCAGGAGAGCATGGGCTGTGCTTATATCTGGTGAGACGCGTGAGGTGTGCGTGTACGCAATAAGAAGCTTGCACACTTTTTTTCATCACTGGGGTATTTGACAATCAACGTTCGGCCCTTAATCATCTGGTTTTTGAAGAACCATCTTTTCGTCAGCTCTCCCTGTGTCTCTTACCTCCGTCCTCATCTCTCCTTCCCACTGTGTCTCTTCTTCTCTGCGTCTGCCTTTCCCCCTATACCCAAACCCTTCTCTCTGGGTGGCAGGGATCAAATCTGCAACGTGCAGCGCCAGATCCAGCTGCCCTCCGTCCTCGGTAGGCAGTGTGCCGTCCGGCCCCTCGCGGCTTGTTGTTTGTATCAGCCGAGCTGGGCTTCACACGCCCTCACACTCCTCATCCTCTCGTATCCCTACAAAGCACTCTCACTTTGCTACCCTCTCACCGTGTCGCCAGTAGCTCATCCCGCCTCCCCCTCTCCCTACCCCTCCCCACTCCCCCTCTCCCCACCCCCTCTCCCCCTCCCTGTCACTCTTCCCCTCCCTTCTCTTCTCAATCCCCCCCAACCCCTCCGCATGCAGCAACGGAGGTGGCAAAAGACTCATCGGAGCTGCCAGCAGTGGAGACCCGCACACTGCCAGCCATCGCTAAGGTCTGCAGCCTGCTCACCTCGCACCCCCCTCCCCCTCCCCCCCCCTCCTCCACTCCCCCCCACCCCCCCCCTTCCTCCACACTCACACACACACACCCACGCCCCTCTTCTTCACTGCCATCAGCACCGTTGCCCTCCCTTATCCTTGACCACTTGTCGTCTCCTTCGCTTCAGACTGCTCTCGCCTTTCCCCTCACCCCCATCCCCCCTCGTCAACCCCATCCCCCCTCTTCACCCCCATCCCCCTCCTCTCCCCCGTGCAGCTGGTGACGGACGTGTCCCCCTTCCACCGGGACCGAATGGCGTCCCTCATCCTCCGCGAGGTGATCCGCTCGCTCCCCGCCCTCCTTCCGCCACGCCTCTCTTCTCCCTTTCTGCACCCATCCCCTCCTTTCTCTTCGATTGCTTCTCTGCTCTTCTTTTTTCACTCTCCTAACACTTACCCTCACCCTGTTCCGCTATCCTCGCCCTTCCCCTCTTCCCAACCAACACCACTCACTCCTCTCCTCTACCCTCCCTCCTTTCCCGCCCCTCAACCCTCACCACCCCATTTTATCCCACAGGGCTACGTGCAGCGGCTGGTGGCGCTGTTCAGGGCGAGTGAGGGCGCCCATGACACCCCCGCGCTGCACCACCTCTACCGCGTCTTTAAAGGCCTCGGTGCGCCCGCCCCTGCCCCTGCCCTGCCCTGCCCTGCCCCGCGCTGCCCTGCTGCTTTGCACTCTGCTGCTGTCCGTTCTGCTGGACTGGTATCACCCGCGGTCGCTGTGTGCTGCACCACTGCATCCATATCCTCCATCCTCCCGCCATTCTCTCTCCATCTCCCCACCCGCCTGACTTCCAACTCCCCCATTCTCTTCGCCCTCCCCTCTTACCCTCTCTCCGCTCCCCATCCCTCTCCGGGCAGTGCTGTTGAACGACTCACAGCTGTTGGAGCAGCTGTTTGCACCGGATGCCATCATGGACGTCATTGGCGCACTCGAGTGTGAGTCACCATGCTGCCATGCCATGCCATGCCATGCCCGCATACCAGCATGCCACCAAGCCACCATTCCACCATGCCAACATGCCGCCATGTTTCCCCCACCGCCTCCCACATGCCTCACCTGCCACGTGTACCTCATGTGTGGCTCTAATCTCCCCTTGCCCCAACTCTCCTCACCTCACCTCTCCCTTCCCTTCCTGGTCCCGCCTGACCTTTTTCCTCCCCAATCTTCCCCAACTCCTTCTCCCCGTCGCCCTGCTGTGCAGACGACCCGGACGTGGCGAGCAGGCAGCAGCACCGTGCGAGTGTGCAGCAGCAGGCGGTGTACCGCGAGGCGCTGCCCATCCCCAGCACCGCCCTGCTCGCCAAGATCCACCAGACGTACCGCCTCGGGTACATCAAGGTGAGACTCGTGGCGTGCTGTGTTGTGCTGTGCTGTGCTGTGCTGTGCTGTGCTGTGCTGTGCTGGTCAATGCAGTCAACGCGGTCAACTCTGCCCATCCCCAGTGCCGCCCTGCTTGCCAAGATCCACCAGACGTACCGCCTGGGGTACATCAAGGTGAGACTCGTGGCGTGCTGTGCCTGTGCTGGTCAAGGTCAGTCAACCCAGTCAACCTGCCCATCCCCAGCGCCGCCCTGCTCGCCAAGATCCACCAGACGTACCGCCTGGGGTACATCAAGGTGCGATGCGTGGCTTGCTGTGAGAATCAGGTCCTCGGGTCAACGAGTCAGCACAACACATTCAATGCAGTCAGCACAGTCACAGTTGAGAGAGTGGGGAATGATAGGAGGGAAGCGGTGTGGAGAGGGAATCACAGTGGCATTGGCTGAGTCAAGTCAATGTTGTCAAGCGCCTGATCCTATCACTGCCTTTCTTAACCCGTGTGCTGTCACACCCCGCTGTCTGTGACTATCACAGGATGTGATTCTACCGAGGGCCCTGGACGACCAGACGTTCAGCAGCATCAACTCGCTCATTCTCTTCAACAACGTCGAGGTGCACCCCTCCTCCCTCCCTCCTACAATTCCTCGCTCCTCCGTTTCGCCTATATCACTCGCTGCAGCGCTCTCCTCTCCACCCACCCTGTCGCACTCTCCTCCCACCAGAGCAACACTCCTTTATCACATCCTCGTGCCCTACTCCACCACACCACACCCCACTCCACTCCCGTTATCCATCTGGCCACCTCGTCTCTCCCTTGTCCATCCGCACCGCTCATCAGGTGGTGACGACGCTGCACGGCAACAAGCCCTTTCTGGGCGACCTCTTTGCGCGCCTGCGCGCCTCTGACCCCCACTCGCCCCAATTCACCGACCTCGTGAGTCCTCCTCTCCTCCACCTCCTTCCCTTGCTCCTCTCACTCCACTCGCCTGTCACCCACGACCTGGGCTTCACACACTGACTGCTTCCCTGTTTGACGCAATCAACCCCTCTTCTCCTCCCCACGCCCTCCCCTCTCTCCTACCCCACCTCCCCCCAGGTGCGGTTTCTGCAGGAGTTCTGCGCGCTGCACAAGCACCTGCAGCTCGCCCAGCGCACCTCCTTCTTCAGGTGCCGCCCAACCCACTCGCCCTCATGCCTCCATGCCACACCCGTCCTCCACCTCGCCTGCCACATTCGGGCATCCTGCTTCTGAACACCCACTCTCTGCGGCATCCTGCTGATGACCACCCCAATTCCTTGTCTTTCCACTCTTTGACTGGACTTGAGAAACCCTTCCCTGCCCTTCTCTCTCTCCCACCCGCCTCCCCTAACCATCGGTGGGCAGTGCGCTGATAGCGCTGGGCCTCTTTGACGTGTGTACGCTCGTCATGCAGCACCCTCTGCACTCTGTTCGCCTCTCTGGGTGAGACACACCACCCTTGCCTTTTCCCATGCGCCTTTGGTCCCCATCTTGTCGTCTCATCTATCAATCGCTCCTTCTTTCAATGCGCATGTGGGCCCGCCACTCACTCTGTTCCTGCCGTCCTCCTCATCGCCCTCGTCATTCCCTTCCCTTAACTTCTTCCTTTCCCCTCTCCCCCCCCCCCCCCCCACCCCCACCTCCCACTGTGCAGAATCGACATACTCATGTCGCTCATGGTGCCAGACCCCGCCCCGCTACGCACGTTCCTCGTGGAGCAACCCAACCACGCCCTCCTCTCCTGCCTCGTATGCTCTATCTCACTCAACCCCTTCGCTCTTTCGTTGTGTCTCTCCTCACGCCCTCTCTCCACGCCACTGAGTGTTCTCAGAAGCGAATGTCTTATTCCGTCCTCCCTCTCATCCCATCCCATGTACGCACCCTATACTGTGCTATGGTGTGGTGGGAGCAGGTGCGCGGCATGGTGGCGTGCAGGCAGGCGGAAGGAGGCCTGCACGCACAGCTGCTGGAGATGCTGAGAGTGCTGCTGGACCCTGATACCATGGACGCGGTGAGGCTCCGTACATTCGCTGTCACTAGTAGAATTTGTATGGTGAGCTGCATGCTAGGTGCGTGCAGGGATGCAGCAGCAGTGCCGTGCAGCTGCAGGAGATGCTGCGAGTGCTGCTCCACCCTGATACCATGGACGCGGTGAGGCTCAGAAGAATGATGAGATCACTAGTAGGATTAGTACTAGTACTGTAGGATGTATGCTGGGTGCTTGAAGGGATGCACCCATACTGTACGGCAGTGGTGCAGTGCAACCATGAGTGAGTGCTGCCAGGCATGCACACACGCGCTGCCTTGTCACATCCTCACATGCATCATTCAGGAGATGGTGTGCAGACGGTGCATGCATCGTTCACACCAGGGGACCTACTTCATGTCCTTTGAGACGTCTCAAAAAGGACCTACTTCATGTCCTTTGAGCCGTCTCAAAAAGGACCTACTTCATGTCCTTTGAGACGTCTCAAAAAGGACCTACTTCATGTCCTTTGAGACGTCTCAAAAAGGACCTACTTCATGTCCTTTGAGACGTCTCAAAAAGGACCTACTTCATGTCCTTTTCTCTTGTACTCTTCTCTTCTCCCTGTCGCCCCCTCTCCCACCTAACCTGCCAGGCCGACAAGAGCAAGTTTCTTGATCTCTTCTACGAGGACTACCTTCAGCTGCTCATCTCAGCCGTTGTTGCCGGCACCAGCGCATCTCAGCCGTCCACGTTCCCAGCTGCTGCCCGAAATTCCACCGGGGCTATGAAGAAGAGGCGGGCAGCTCAGGGGAGGGCAGATGGTGGGGGGAGCGGGAGAGTAGACAGAGAAGCGGGGAGGGGAGCAGGAGGCAGGGGTGATAATGCAGAACCTGCAGAGAGGGATGGAACACAAGGACGCCAAGCAGAGAGGGATGGAGCACAAGGACGCCAAGCAGAGAGGGATGGAGCACAAGGACGCCAAGCAGAGAGGGATGGAGCACAAGGACGCCAAGCAGAGAGGGATGGAGCACAAGGACGCCAAGCAGAGAGGGATGGAGCACAAGGACGCCAAGCAGAGAGGGATGGAGCACAAGGACGCCAAGCAGAGAGGGATGGAGCACAAGGACGCCAAGCAGAGAGGGATGGAGCACAAGGACGCCAAGCAGAGAGAGGGGGGGCGAGGGGGGGTGGAGAGCAGGGGGGTGCAGAGGGCGAGGAGAGGCGGGGGCAAGAGCGGGGTGGTGGAGGGGGTTCCGAGGAGGCGCCATCACCGGACGTGCTGACAAGCATCTGTGACCTGCTCTGCTTCTGCGTGCAACACCACAGCTTCCGCATGAAGTGAGCGCACTCTAACTCACTCCATCGCTCCGCCGTCCCTCCCATTATTCCTTTCACCGCAGTGGAAAAGATGCCGCAACCCCTTTCTCCCCGTCTCCTTTCACCGCAGTGGAAAACGCCCCCTCTGTGTTCCGCTCCCCCCCCCCCCCCCCGGGTTCCGCTCGAGGTACTACTTGCTCGGGTTTCTGCATGCTCTCAAACACCCCCTCTGTGTGTCCACCACCACCTCCCCCTTGATACCCACCCAGGTACTACGTGTTGCGCAACAGTGTGGCGGAGAAGGTGCTGCGGCTGACGCAGCGGCGGGAGAAGTACCTCTCTGTGGCCGCCATCCGCTTCCTGCGCTGCTGTGTCGCGCTCAAGGTGAGTGGCGGTCAAGTTGAGTGGCGGTCAAGTTGAGTGGCGGTCAAGGTGAGTGGCGGTCAAGGTGAGTGGCGGTCAAGTTGAGTGGCGGTCAAGTTGAGTGGCGGTCAAGTTGAGTGGCGGTCAAGTTGAGTGGCGGTCAAGGTGAGTGGCGGTCAAGTTGAGTGGTGGTCAAGGTGAGTGGCGGTCAAGGTGAGTGGCGGTCAAGGTGAGTGGCGGTCAAGGTGAGTGGCGGTCAAGGTGAAGAACCATGCACCTGTCTCACCATCACCCCACCTTCCCCGCCTCCCCCTGCCCTCTCGCCTCACCCTTCCCCACCTGCCAGGACGACTTCTACGTGTGCTATCTGGTGAGGAACCGCCTGCTGGACCCGGTCATGGCGGCCTTCTGAGTCCTCTCACTCACTAGTCGCCCTCCGCCCCCCTGTGGCCACCATGTACCCCTCTCCTCCCCTCCCCCGCCCCGCACCCCTCACAACCACAGGACGACTTCTACGTGCGCTATCTGGTGAAGAACCGTCTGCTGGACCCGGTAATGGCGGCCTTCCGCGTCAACGGGGCGCGCTACAACCTCCTCAACTCCGCCGTGCTTGAACTCATTGACTTCGTGCGCAAGGTACGAATACAAGGGAAAAGAGGGAAAGGGGGGAAACGGGCAAGGATGGGTGGAAGGAAGGCGGATGTGGCCTTTTGGACTTGTCAATTGTTGCGCTGAAGCTCTTTGACTTGCCATGCCACTGTCACTCTCACTCTCACTGCCCCTACACTGTCGTATCACGTGCACTCCATGCATGAATGCACTCCATGCATGAATGCACTCCATGCATGAATGCACTCCATGCATGAATGCACTCCATGCATGAACGCACTCCCCAGGAGAACGTGAGGCCGCTGGTGGCGTACATAGTGGAGTCGTACGGCTCGTGGCTTGACTGCATTGACTACGTTGACTCCTTCAAGCTGCTCCGACTCAAATACGAACAGGTGAGAGGGATGGCACACAGGCATGCAGGTCCGCCGAGAATGCAGGGCAAGGGTGGTGGTGGAATAGGGCCCTCATGAACCCCTCATGCCTTCACTCTCGCATGCTCTCATGCCATTGCCATCCTTCCCATTTCTCCCTCCATGCAACCCCCCCATTGCTCCCTTGATTGCTCTCACCATTTCTCCCCTGACTGCTCCCCCCATCGCTCCCCCCTTTGCCTCCCGCATGACCCCCTCCACAGAATCTCGAGTCCAACAGACCAGCTGTGCCTCCCCCTGTCGTCATTCTCCCCCCTTCCACCTCCCACCACCACCACCACCACCATCATCACCACCCGCACCAGCACCACCATCAGCAGCAGCAGCAGCATCCGCTCTCCTCTCCCCCCGCATCTCCTCCCCTTCCCACTGCTGCAACTGCAGGCATGGAAAGACATGACAATGACGCTGCGAATGACGCCGCCACCGATACACGTGCGCGGGCCAATGTTGATGCTCATGCTGCTCCTTATAGTGATGCGGATGATGCTACTGATGCCGCTGATGCTGAAACCAGAGATGCTGCTGGTCACGTTGATAATACTAACAATGATGCTGCTGATGGTGGTGATGATGATGGTGAGGAGGAGGAGGAAGAGGAGGATGAGGATGAGGATGAGGAGGAGGAGGATGTGGAAGCTGAAGGCGAGGGTGGTAGCAATGACGAAACTAACGATGCCGACGCTAATGGCGGTGAAACCAAGGACGCTGATGCTAACAGTAGGAACGTTCAGAGGCTTCCGAACCTCTCTGGTTCAGCAGCAGGCTCGGCACTGGGTGTTGTGCCGGTGATGGGAGGGGAATGGGATGGGGGCGACGAAGGAGAAGGGGGAGTGGAGGTGGAGGGTGGGAGGGGGAGAGGGAGGGGGAGAGGGAGAGGGAGAAGACAGAGAGGCAGTCGAGAAGGGGAGGTGGATGTGGATCCGCAAAATAACGGTTTCCAACAAGATGGCAGGTGGGGATTGCGAGGGATTTTCTTGTCTTTTCAAATGCTGGCAGGTGGGAACTTGCCTTGCTGCCGTGCATCCTCTTTCCCTGTGCTCTTTCTTCACCATCGCAATCACTCTTCCTTTGTCTGACCGTCACCCACATGCCTCTCCGCCGTTTCTCCCTTCTGCTGCCAACCCCACCGCCACCAGTGATGAGGATGCTGACAACCCCGAGTCTGCACCAGCAACGGTGCCAGGAACCCACTCCCCCCCTCTCCACCCGCCCCACCCATCCCACCTTCCCATTCCCCTGCCCTCCCTCCACCACCCCCTTCGCCTCCACCCCCACCGGCTGCCCCCACACCAATCCCTCTCCCCCACCGCCCGCCGGCCCTTCTCTCGTTCACCCTCTCCCCCTCTCGGACGGCCGTCGTCTCCGCCCGCCCGCCCGTTGTCCCCATCTGCCCGGCACTGCATGTCACGATCGCCCTCGCCGCCCCCACCACTGCCCCCACTGCCGCCCATCAACGGCACCATTGGCAGCGAGTCCAGCAGGTGGGGTTCTGAGGCTGCTCTAGTGGTACCTTACCTGGAACGCCCTAGTCTCACATGTCAAGTGCAGATAAACTGTTGCAAAAAATGGACCCATATGGGAATGGATCATGTTCTATCCTGTCTGCCTTTGGTCTCGTGTCCAAAAGCTCCCTCCAAGCCCTTATTCCCTTGAATTAGCCTAGAATCCAATTGCGGCTTTTCTGACCGGCCTTAACTCTGTCCTTGCTTGCCCCTCTTCCCAATCGTGCCCTTCCCTGTTCAGGAAACGGCCGCGTGGGTGCATGGACTCCTGTGCACCACAGGCAGAAGCCGGTGCGGATGGGAGGGGGGAGAGTGGCCGTGAGCAGGGAGGGGAAAGCAGCGGAGTGGCAGCAGAGGGAGGGGAGCCGGGGCCTAGCAGCAAGGCACTTGGTAGAAAACGCAGGTCTATCGAGGGGAGGGGCGTGGATGAGGGCGAGGAAGCAGGAGGGGGTACAAGGAAGGAGAGGAGGCAGTTGAGTGTGGTGGTGGGGGAAGGGGACGGGGAGGGCGCTGGGGAGGACCAAGGGGATTATGGGGATGGCAGTCCCAAGGGGGCTAGTCCCAAGGGTGACAGTCCCAAGAGCGGCAGTCCCAAGGCCGGCAGTCCCAAGGCCGGCAGCCCTAAGGCCGGCAGTCCCAAGGGGGCTATTCCCAAGGGTGGCAGTCCCAAGGGCGGCAGTCCCAAGGGTGGCAGTCCCAAGGGTGACGGGAGGGTGGGAGGTGTGCGAAGCTTTGGGGATGCAAGCAAGAAAGCACTGTGCATGAGGAAACGGTTCCTGCAGGTGCGCACTCAGGATAACACCACTGCGGTGCCTCTGGGGGAGGTGGCTCCTGGGGGAGGGCCGCCCAAGGGAAGCGGAGGGGCGCAGGGAAGGGAGGAGCCGACTCTTGGTGTGTGCTCCCCTCGCCCTGTGCTCTGTGACCCGTGGCGGAGCGCGAGGGGGAAGGGGCGAGAGCGGGCAGGGAGTGCGGAGGGAGGAGAGGGCGATGGTGCTGATGGTGGTGGTGATGATGGTGAGTGGGCTGTGAGACTGGCTATGGCTGAGGAGGAGGAGGAGAGGAGGCAGGCAGACGGGGCTGATGGGGATGGCAACAAGGGTGGAGGGAGTGAGGGAGCGAGGGGAGGTGGAGGTGTGGAGGGCGAGTGTGCAGGCAGTGAGGTAGCATGTGGGGATAGCGATGTGGGGGGAAAGGGTGGTAGAGATGCAGAGGAAGGAGGGGATGACATGGATGGGGCTGGAAAGGGGGAGTTAGAGGGCCAGGAGGAGGAGAAAGCACATGGGGAGAATGCAGGCAGTGGTGCAATGAGCCTTGGAGATGAGGCAGGAGGGGCAGATGCACGGACAGCAGCAGCGGGAGGTGCACAAGGTGCAGCAAGGTCGGTGTTTGAGGCATTGAGGTAGCGAGCATGCTGCGAGCAGCACAGGAGTATCAGGGGCTGCACGCATGTTGCTGCCCCTACAAAAGCATGTCACATGGCAGGTCGGCCTAAGTGCGGGGCAGCTGAGGCTGCACGGCATGCATCAGCAGCACGCACCACGGAAGTGGGTGTGCTAGGGTTTTCAATGGGAGGAAGTGTAGTTTGTATCTCGTAGTGGCTCCCTTCAATAATTGTGAATCCTAAGCTTCGGCTGATCGTTGAAAAACATATCAGAATTAATTTAACTCCCAGTTCCTGTCCCACAAAGCCAATACCAGTCAAAAACAAGGCCATAGACTCCAATTTCCCCTTCAGGGTCACCTCTACCCTCTCTAAACCCCAGACCACTGATCACAACTGCCACGTCTACCAATCATGGTCCACGAGTTGCAGCATGGCAGCAGCGTGCGGGCCTCTCAGCCACGCCACCAGGTCCGGCCCAAACGCCACTAACTTCCCCCCATGCTGCTGCCCCCGCCCCCCCCACCCCCAACGGCAGCCCCAGCCGCCCCACCTCCTGCACCACCGCCTGCCTCACCCGCCCCTCCCCCTGCCCGCCCCCTTTCTTCCCCCCCCACCTGCTGTGACCCCCTTGCCCTGTCACCACCACTACTTGGTGTGGCGCCACCACCACTCCCGGCGCCCCCTTCCTCCTCGCTCCCCCCCCTCCTCCGGTCACTCTCACCAGCACTCGCTGCCACGCTGCTGCCGGCGCCAGCTGCACCAGCAACTCCGGCCCCCCTGCTTCTATCCCTGCCCCTGTCTCTCCCTCTGCCCCTGCCCCTGCCACTGCCGTTGCTTCTGCCTCTCCCTCTGTCTCGCTGCTCTGCACGGATCCCCCTCCCCTCTGGCTTGGGTTGTCTCGTTGGTGATGCACCTTGCTCCTACTCCTCTCGTCCACGCTGTCGCGGCTAGCAGCAGCAGCAGAGCCCACCTGGCGCCGGGCAGTGTCATTGCAGTGCACCACGTGCAGCAGCTTCACCAGCCACTGATTCAGCGCCACTGCTGCTCCTCCATACGACAGCCGCCGCACGTCCAGCTGCCACGTGTCGCCGTCTAAGTGGACCAGCTCGGTGGCACCCCCTCTGCCTTGTTGTCTGGGTGTTGTCATCACCTCTCCAGCGCCCTTTCGGCCTGCCACCACCTTCTCTTCACCCCCAGCGGCCGTATCACCCATGCTCCTCTCACTACCGGGGCTGCTGCTGCTGCTGCTGCTGCTGTCAAAGCTCTCACTGCTACTCGTGCTGAAGCTTCTCCTTATGCTGCTGATGTTGTTGCTGTTGCTTCTGCTGTTGCTCCTGCTGTTGCTGTGCCCTGTGCCCACCCACCCAGTGTTGCCCCTCTCCCTGTTCCCCTGTGCGTCTCCTGAGACCTCCCCCAGTCCCTGCATCAACCCAGCCTGCAGGGCGGCAGACAGGACAAGAGCTGCCCTCCGGTGCCGCCCAAATGTCCAGAGGCAGTCTGTGAGAGTGGCAGCTAGCACCTCATGAGCGCGCGTGGCATAAAAGTGAGGCAAGGAGGTGTGTGTGGGAGGAGGAGAGGAGGAGGAAGGGGGCAGTGACGGCTTGGAGAGGAGGAGGTGGATGAGATTATGCACCTGGGGCATGCAGGGAAGCATGGGCGAGAGCAGTATGGAACACGGTTAGCATTGGGAGGAGCGAGGGATAGGGATGCAAAGGAAAGACGAGGGGTGAATGGGAATAGCAAGCTGCATGCAACTCCAGTGGGCAAGAGAGGAGGTAATGGGGGGAGGGATGAGGAAGGCAAGGCAGGCAGACAGTGAAGCATGAGGCGCCATGATGCAGCATGTGTGCGAACAGAGACATGCACCACCACACCCCTTGAGCTCACTCGGAATCCCATACATACTTCCCCCCACCTCAACACACCTGAGCATCGGAGAGCCCGTCTTCCAGGATCAGCCTTGCACATGCCTCTCCCACGCCCCCCTCACTCTCCACCTCCCCCAGAAACCACCTCAGCACGCTCCCCGCCTCCTCCTTCTTCCCGCTGCAGCACCCCGCCACACCCGCCAGCACGCTCGTCACCAGCGCCACATCAGCGCGCTGCTGACACGCCGCCACGTCAGCGAGCACCGACTTAATCAAATCCGGGCGGCTGCGGGCGGCGCAGGAGGAGACGAGGGTAGCGAAGGTGAAGTGGTTGGGAGGGATGGAGAGGGATCGCATCTCCCGATACACGTCCCACACCTCTGCACTCCTCCCAGCCGCTGCATATGCTGCCATGAGAGTGGTGTACGTCACTGTGTTGGGTCGCACACTGGGCCACGGGAACCGAGCCTTGCGCTTGGGAGGCCTCTCAGCTTCATGCTGCTGTTGGTGTTGCTGCTGCTGATGGCACAAATGGTGTTCTCGCCGCATGCTGAATTCACCTGCTTCTTCTGCATCTCTCACTTCCCCCGCTCGCTCTCCCTCCTCGTACTCTTCATCCCCATCCCAAAACCCTTCCGCAGTCCCATCACTCTCCCCTCCGTCCTCGTCCTCCTCCTCCTCTCCAACCCCTGCTCCAACAACATTCCCTCCCACCCCCAACTCTCCTTCTCCTCCTGCCTCGAACCGCTCTCCACCGCTCATAACTCCTCCTTCCCCGCGCATGAGTCCCAGCACGCCTTCAGCAGCATCAGCATCGCCCTTTAAGGCATACCCATGCATCAGAGCATTCCATGTGCGCACATTCGGCTGCACTGCTGCAACACGCATCCCTTCCCCGTCCCCCCCATCGCCCCCTTCCCCCCCATTCCCCCCATTCCTCCCCACCATCCCCCCCCCGCCCCCCACCGCCCCCAGCAGCAGCTCCTCCGCCTCCTCCACCCGCCCAGCCTGCCCCAGCCCCCACACATACGTCGTCAGCAGGGCGGCGTTCATCGGCAGCTTCTGCGCCGCCCGCACATGGTGCAGGAGCGAGAGGGCAGCGTCAGGGTCGGCATGCAAAAAGTGCATGTGAGCGATCATGTTGACTGCTGCCTGTGTGGGGGGCACGCCTCTCCTCTCCATGTCCCTCAGCAGTCTCCGTGCCTCCTTCACTTGCCCGCCATTCACACACGCGCGTATGAGGCTGCTATAAGCTGATGGGCTGAGGGTGTGGGTACGCGGAGGGGATTGCTTGCTGCTGCTACCTGCCTCATGAGCAGTTGCAGCAGGAGCGGGGTTTCCTTCTGCCATGTCAAGATGCATACTGGCTGCGTCAGCATGTGCCCTGTCCATGTCAGCATGTGACCCGTTCATGTCAGCATGTGATCTGTCCATGGCAGCGTGTGTGAGCCGCACCAGTCGCAGCAGGTCAAACAAGTCCCGGCCATCCCGTGCCATGGCTCGCAGCATCAAATCCAATGACTCTGGATCCGGACACGGCAGTCGGTGGCAAGTCAAGGAGTCACCACCATGCATCCGTGCTGGTGCATCGAATTCCATGGGAGGACCAGGACTACCCATGAGGAATTGCATCCATGGATCGTACCCCACTTCTGCCCTGCTCTCCCTCCCATGCTTTCCCCCAGCACCAGCTCTCTGCTCCTCCAACCCAGCTCCGACCTCTAGTCCGGCCTGGGCTGTGGTGTGCAGGGTGGGATGGAGGGAGGAGCGGGGGAGGAGCGCGAGGGAGAAGAGGTGCTGTGCGTGCTGGTGCAGGCCCGCTGCTAGGAGCGATTGCAGGAGCAGGTGGAGCGAGGAGGGGGTGAGGGGAGGAGGGGAGAGTGATGGTGCTGAGAGGGCCGGCGATGGGCTTTGTGGTTGTAATTGGGATGATAATAATGTTGGTGATGATGGTGACGGTGATAAGGATGGTGATGGCGATGGGGATTGGGTTGAAAGGAAGGCGGAGGAGAGATGCGAGGGGGGTTCAGGGGAAGGAAGGAGGACAGGGCGGATGAGAGCAGAGAGAGCCGCGGGGCTGAGGGGGTAGCGATGGGGGGTGGAGTCGGATAGGAAAGTGAGGGCGAGGGGCGGGGCGGAGGGAGAGAAGAGGGCGGAGGAGTGAATCGCCTGCAACAAGGCCACCTGGGAGGGGCGGTGTGGGTGGGCAGAAAGGGGGGAAGCAGAGGCAAGGGTGGACAGGGAGAGGGGTGAGATGGATGAAACGAGAAAGGGATGGGAGGTGAGAGAGGTTGGCAGGGCGGACAGTGAAGAGAGGGGCAAGACAGGAGAGAGTGGTGGGACAGGAAGAGGTGCAAGCAGAAAGAGATGTGACAATGGGTGAGCGATCGAGGGGGAAGGATGTATGGAGAGTGATGGGTGAGATGGAGGGAGGGCACGTACAGACAGGATGGAGGGCTGCATGGATGACGCGGAACGGTGGGATCCAAAGAGCTGTGGAGCATCAAACGGCTGTGAGAGGTCCAGATGCTGCATGGCGGATCCTAACAGACCTTCCAGCACCCCTTGAGGTGATGATGGTGGTGATGGTGACGATGATGATAATGATGCTGGTGATGAGGCTAACGATGCTGATGATGGAATGTGCATCTCTGCCCGGGCTTCTCCTGGCACTTGGGGTGATGCAAGTGGCATGGCCCCTAGAGGCGGGACGGAGGAGAACGCGAGGACACAAGGCGAGTGGTGGACGGGACTACTGCCCTCAAGAAGATGCTCCGCTGATGTGATAGAGTGGTGATGCACGGTCGAGTGCGGTACGATGCGAGTTAAAATGGCCTCAAGTGCGCTGCTGCTGCTGGCTTTCCTGCTGCTGTAACCACTACTGCTGGTGTTCTCGTTGCTGCTGCTGTCAATACTGCTGCTGCTCTCACTGCTCCCCTTGCTGCTAGAGCAGCTCTCCGCATGACATGTGGCATCCACGAGCCCATCCACGTCATCCATCACCACCACTCGTATGTCAGACAGCAGGGCTGCCACGTCAGGGTTTAGACTCTTCTCCTGCTGCTGCGTCACGAGATGCTGCTGCTGCTCCTGCTGCTTCATCGCGCTTTGAGGCCGTGGTTCTTCCTGCAACAACGCACCACCAACCGCCTCCCCACCATGAACATAGCCCACAACTTCCCCCCTATGGTGTGTACCCGTCAATGCAGCATTGACAGGAGATGCCACTGCAAGCATTCCTTGAGGCGGGGATACAGGTGCATCAGGAGCAGAGAGGGCGGGCAGGGAGTCAAAGAGCGCCAGGAGCTGCTCGGGAGTCAGTACCACAACACCCCCCCCACCTCCCCCCTCTCCCGCTCCCTGCAACCCCTGCCCGCTCCCCCCCTCAACCCCTCCCCATATCGCCTCCCCCGCCCCTGTCTCAACGTCTTCCCGCCCTAACCCGCTTCCAGCGTCCCCAGTTCCGTCTCCTCTCCCCCCGCCCCCCACCCCTCTGCCCCCATCCCCTCCCGCACTCCCCAGCTCGGAGTGCAGGCGGAGCAGGCGGTCAGGGGAGCAGAGCACGAGCACAGAGGGGGGGGAAGCGGTGGCAAGCACGGGTGGAGGGGGACGCGTGGGCTGGCTGCTGGCCCCTCTGAGTGTTGACGATACGGCCTGCCTGTACGAATCGTCAGCTAAGACGTTTCCCGACTCTCCCTCAAGCTCCCTGCTTGTGTTGCCACTCCCCTCCCCGCTGCTCCCCTCCCCACTACTCCTCTCTCCACTGCTCCTCTCTCTGCTGCTTTCCCTGCTCCCACCTCTGCTGCGGCTGCTGCTGCGCCCGCTCCTGCAGATAATGCTGCTGCTGCCACCTGTTGTGTACGGATTGGCTGCGTAAGACGCCAACATGGACGCCAGCTGGCATGGGGGATCAAGGGGATGCCGTGCGATCAAAACAAGATGAAATCAGGAAGAATCAGCGGGATCGGATAAAATAACAGACTATTCAGAGAGAGAAAAGGAGAGGAAGATATCGTGCTGAGAGGGAATGGAGAAGATGCAAAGAGCGGTGGGGAGAAAGGAAAGGAGCGAGCAGGAGAAAGGGCCAAGGGCGCTCACCACAATCCCGACAGCCGTTCCCGAGCCGGACTGGGCTCGGATGAATGCATGGCGGTTGCCGGCTGGTGGTGGGGTGGGATGGGGCGAGGAGCAGGCGAATATCATGTGACTGTTGTAAAAACAAGCAGAGGAGCAGTGAGGCATAGAAGGAGATGCTCGCTCGGACCAGACTGAGACTACAGCAGTAGCCGGCCACAGCTCCTCAAAGGGATTTAGCCCACAGGGAAAGGAGGCGTTAGATGGGCAATGAGTGTGGTGAGTGTAGTGAGGTTCAGGCGTACTGCGCAGGAGGTCATGCAGTGAGAAGTGGTTGTGTGCTGCTCTGCGTGCACGCCTGTGCGCCTGCGATGCCGCTGCTGCTACTCTCCCTGCTTCAGATGCCACTATTGCTGTTCCCGTTGCTGCCGCCGCTGCTGCTGCTTCTGCCGCTTCTCTTGTTCCTAGTGTTGCGTCTGTTACTGCTGTTGCTGATAACGACGCTTCTGTTGCTGCGGTTTCTTCTGGTGCTGTTGTTGCTGCTGCTGCCGCTGCATCCACTGCCGAAGCATCCTCAGCAATAGGCCCGCGATCCGCGCTTTCACTCATCTCAACGGTTTCACACATCTCACCAGCTTCACTCGTCTCCGCCACGTGCGCTGGCATCTGCTGCCACCCGTTACCCCTACCCACAGACGACCACGCCCGACAACCACCCGCCCTCGCCGCACATGACGCTACCGGGACGACGGCACTACGCGCTTTGCCTTGCACGGCGACGCTGGGGCGCGACACGTGGCTCTGTGCGTTGTTGCTAGGTGGCAGAGCGGGAAAACAGCTGGACAAGTGAAGGCTCGAGACGGGAATCGCTGCAGCAAAGGGAGTACCGCGACGCCCTAAGAGACTCCCCGCGCGCACCGGGATAGACACCCGCTGCGGATCTCGACGCAGTGCAATGGGCCAGAGAGTAATAAGGGACCCCGGAGGTATCCTGTGTCTCGACCGCAGTGCGTCATTGGCCTTTGATCCCGTCCGTGCGACACGCGTCAGGTTATAAGCTGGGACATGCGAAGGTGATGGTAACAGCAGTAACTGCTCCGTTTTCGCTGCATCTGGCCGTGCAGTGGCAGACGCGGATTCGCAGCGCGATGGGAACGTTCGAGCCGTGAGGGAACTCGCATCTCTCCAGCATGACTGTATCACCTTTCGCCTCGCCATCCCGAATCGCGAAACGCAGATAACTAAGGGGTCAGAGACATGTCAGCTGCTGCAGAGCCAATATGGTAGCTATACAATGTGGCGACGGGTGTGGGAAAGGCAACATCTATAAAAGAAGCGAGTTCTACATGATATTGTGGAGAAGATCCTCAGGAGGCTGGTATAAACTAGGAGCCTCTGCTGGATTTGGAGAGCTTTCGTTGGAAACTTCTAGCTCCACCACTATCCACAACTTATCTCCGCTTTGTGTCGCTTCTCGATAATGGTTGTAGCCCGTGGAATTTCAGTACTTATAGACTTTCTAAGCACCTCCCTACAAAAATTTTAGCACCTCTTCAAACTGCAAAGCTGGAACTGGATATTTGTTTGTAGACACTAACATGTCCACGAATCTGTATTATAAAAAAAACGAGTCACTCCATGAACGTGGTCGCCATTTTTCTTGTGATGACGGAGAACACGACGATCTATTTGTCTCTGCTACACCTAGTCCGCGGTATTTTAACCGCCACTATCTGAACCACGCGAGGGTACTTCTCCTTGGTCAAACTTTTTATACGAGTAGTTTCGAAATTTATTGAGAGTAGAATCTAGCATACCCTTTGTGAGACGACGGCAGTCAAAACCTGGTCAATGCCGATCCGCCCTCTGTTTCCGAGCACTAAGTGTGAGTTTCTTTAGAAGGAAATGCTTCTGGCTGCAAAACAATAGCCTTGAAGTCTCTGGCTGCCCATCTCATTACCCGAAAACTAACAAAGGGTGTTTGAAGCGAAACAGTTCACGTGGTTAAAATACCGCAGACTAGGTGTAACTGTTTCGTTGTCGTTTCTGATCACTGAGGGACAGATCTGCGGAAAGTGGCACGGGAGGGGAGGGAGGGACGTGGTGCCTGATGAAGGTGCTGGCGAGGAGGGTGCCTCTACCGTACTAACATCCCTAGAACCGGGTCAAACATTTTCTTCGATCCCGATTCCGGAAGCACACGAAACACCCCTTTTTCACCGATCACGTGATGAACCTGTGTGCCTTGCGTTGTGTGAGGAAAATGCTGCCGCATGCGCAGCTGCCCACTAATGCCAACCCAACTCGACCTAGCAAACAGAACTCATCCTACATCGATCCGAGTGAATAAGAGCGTGTCCGAAGTGAAACGTGGATGGATGTCGGGGGATGTCGGCGAATCCTGACGGTCGGAACCGATCCGAGGGCTGAAATTCATCGACATCCCCAAACGGATGTCAGCGGATGTCGACGTTTCACTTCGGACACCCCCTAAATGGCGACAGCTTACCTCACCCTCACCGCACGAGGGCCGGCCACTAGTGTAGCACATGGTGTGGGATCTTTCTTGGTCGACACGACGAGAGGCGTATACGATCTCGCAAGAGATGGCTTGAAGATAAGGTGGGCTCAACAGTCGTTTCAAAGAGTCAGTCTCCGATTTTTTCTCAACGCCGCAATTTCTTCCTCTTAGTCTCCCATCCACTACACCGTGACACCGAGTATCCTCAGCGGAAAGATGGAAGGGCCAAGTGTTGTCGAGTTGCATCTCTCCCCGCGTTCCTCGCCTCTCGCGTCAACCTTCAAGCGCCCTCATATTTTCGAGGATCTCCTTCTCGACGTTCCGCAATCCCCGCCGCTTCGCTCCCCCTCCACCGGCGCCGTCTTTCCACGCTTCAGCCCTCCCAGGTCCAGCAGTGGCGACATTTGTAACCAAGTTCGTCAAATTTGGTGCGAATGGCGTCCGGCGACCATTTCCGTCGTCCGCAGCCCGAGCGCGGCTCTCGTGTCGCATCTAGGCTTTGCATCGGCGGCGGAAATGGATCGCATGTGGGTGGAAGACGAGAGCCCATCGAACGAGTCTCTGCGCCCCGACCGCGGCGATGATTCGGATTCGCCGCGGTGGTTCTGGGGGGCGAACAGGGGAAGGCGCGCCGAAGCAAGGAGGTCCTCTTCCGATTCAGAGCGTACTGTTGTCGTCCGTGCTCCCGTCCTCGTCCCTGGCAGCAGTAGCGTTGGCAGCAGCAGCAGCGCGCGATCGCCGGCATTGGGAAGTTATCGCAGCAGCAAGCTTCAGGTTTTTTCGCAGGGTTATGTTACCACAAGGGTGGAGGAGACCGGTGGAAAGGCGTATCCCGTCTATTCGCCGCAAAGCACCGCTACCGCTCCCCCAGCAACGGTGAAGCCTCGTTCTAACGGTCATTGGGGATCGGATCCGGCTGCGGGCAGAACGGAAACCCCGCATTGTCTGTGCTTTTCAGAATACACCGGCGTCCATCGCCGCACATGCAGCCTCCAGACACGCCTTTCCAGCCATCGAAACAGCTCTTTCGAAACAACTGTCGTGCGAAGACGAGCCTCTCTAGACGGGGAGAAAGGCCTCGTCAGCTGCTTGGCTGGCAGCCCCAGATCTCGAGGCAGGTGTGGCTTCGCAGGTGTTCGGCGCCGCGTGTCGTTTGACAAAATGGTTCACGTGTGCTACATCGGCGTGGCGGATAAGGCACCCCCGTCAGGTGCAGTGCAGATTCCGCTGGAAGCAGCTGGAAAGGTGATGGTCGGGGCGACTGCATGACGGTTGATGCGTCTCCGTCTTGAAGGCCACATTTGAAGGTGATGGCGGAGGTGAAATGCTGCCGGTTGGGGATCGGAACGGAGCAAAGAGCACCCAACAAAGGTGGCAATCGCGCACTGAAAGCTATCCAGCAGTGCCATCGGCCCAGCTATCTGACGATCTGGATGGTCTACTGCCAGAATGCAAGGTTCTTAGCTCAGAGGAGGCCTTGCCGCCAAAGCCCGGTTTCCCACTACCGCAAGAGCTTATGGAACTACCAGACTGCCCTTTTATGACTTCCTCGTGTTTTGTCCGAATGGGCTCAGGATCGAATGGTAGCATCTCCACCATAAACTTTCCTCGTTTTGTCCCATCATCACTTAAGTGTGGTCTCATGAAGACTAGGACTTGCATTGCTTCTCTGGCATCATGAAAGTACCATATTACCCTTTGTGCCTTCTTAGGGGTACATTCCTGTATCGACACAAGTGTCTCAATGCAGTCACAGAACCAATGTACCGTTCTGCACCGCATCACACCTAGGAATCGATCATCTCCATTGACCGGATCTTGTCGTTTGATACGCGAGGCTTTTGTGACGCGCTTCAGGAATGCACCTAAGTACAGGAGAGGCAAAACATGACCCTAAGTACTACCCTGTGGTACGATGTGATGTGTGATGTGATATACATGACATGCAATACGTCTCTGTTTAACAATTTTAATCAGAAGCCAAATGAATTTTGAATGAACTTGTACAGGCTGATAACCTGTATCAGCCGTATCCCCCATATACCATAATTTCTTGTCATCTTCGTGCCCTTCCCCTATTTCCCCAGCAATTCCTCCTCCTGTCATCGAAGAGGGGTTGACCTAAGTGGTCGTCGCTTTTCGCCTCCTCTTTTCGCAAGGTTGCAGACATTGCATAGAAACGCGTTTTCAGTTTCGCAACGCGACAACGAAATAGTTCGTCAGACTTGTCTGTCGCAATTTGCCCATCACGTTGTCTGACAAAGGTTTGTCCATTTCACCCTTCCCCCTCATCAATCAACTAGCTTTGACTCAAGGGTCATCGATTTTCTGCTGCAGCTCAATAGGCGCACAATGCTCGTTCTGTCCTTTTTCGCGTTGAGCTGACCTTCCCTGTCTGACAGGCGAACCGCCCATACTGCGCCATCCAGAATGTCAACTCAGATATCGCCACGCCATTATCCAACTGATTGCCTGCACAGCCCCCGCCCGCAGGAGCACCGACGAAGCGGGACGTTCGAAGGTGGATACACGAGTTGTGGTGTCACTGGTACGTATTTGTATTGCTCGAAATGCTTTCGAGATCAGTTCGCGGCTGCAATAGTTTCTTGCCATGGAATCGTCGGCTGACTTAGAGACTTCAACCAGCAATCAGCGCCGCTCAGGCAGGATATCTCGCAATGAAACAGCATCGCTAACCTACTCACAGCACCGTCGATCCAAACCCGTCCGCGTATCTTCGCCGCAGCTGTTCTCAAAGTCCCTTTCCCTTGACGACATCCAAGGCACAGCCGCAAACGC